ACGGTGAAGATAGGACGAGTCCACGTTCAAGCTGGACACCCCCCTGGAGGCGTACAGGCTGCTTCCAGAAAGGAGCTCTCAAGGATCATACAAGTACTCGTAGAAGGGCACAAGTACTCCTACTTCGTTTGTGCTGTTGGCTGCGGTTTCTCATTGTTTCGCCCTGTTTGACCAGGGGTGCGTGCAATTAAATCCACCTGGGACGGTATGTACTCGTACGGTCCCCTACAATATGAAGCTGTCTTGCAGGCTCCAAGAGGGCAATTATCCACACTCGCTCGTACAGTACAGTTAGCATAAAAGGCGGCGTGCCGGCAGGCGACGGCTGAGGCGCAAAAGCCGCTCCGTAAAAAGAGGAAGCCAGTTGATCGGCCGAAGTGGAGGGCCTCAAAAGTGAGGGCTTTCGCGTCACCCGATAAATGATGTGTATCAACTGGGGTCAACGTCGCGGAAACTAACCAGTCTGGCGATAGTAGCGAGAAGAGAGCAACACAAAGCGAGAATGAAAAGAAGAAAGGAAAAGGAATAATTAGAGGCAGATTCGCTGCTCGGGTCATCTCTCGTTCTCTTACGCTTCCTGGTATGCTAGTATGAAGGACGCACACTAGTCGTCACTAGGCGAGTGCTTGCACCCGTGCTTCGTCTGTTGTACGGACGAGATACAGGGGTCCGTCAAACGACATGCATTCCTGGCTATTGATACTTGCTCTTTGGGGAGTTGGGGTCACGGCAAATACTTCAGCTGGCAAGGATGGGCAAAGCTACCAAGCATTGGCAAGCCCGGAGGGAGCTCCGTGCAATTGTCCACTCAGACTCCTACTAATCGTCACCAGTTGTTGTCCTGGGGTCAAAACCTACATGGACACCATTACTGATGTGGCTACATGGACGAGTACACGTTATGATTGCCCCGTACTTACATGTGATTTGATGTCGAGGACGGAGTACGGAGTACGTAAGAAAAGCATTAATTACCCCTTGCATATGCATACGCGTAGTTCAACTGCCACTGCCGCCCCAAGCGTATACCTATGTATGCTATGGCTTCTTGAACAGAGAGCGGCAATTCTCAATGGTGAATGTGTGTATGTGCCTAGTTATACCAACCGTCGGTAGAATGTGGCACGAAGACTCTTCTTCCCCCTTTCCACTAGGTGGACTCATGTTTGAGGCGACGGATTCCCAGAAAAAAAAAAGATTTGGATGAGCGGTCCGTCCCTTGCCTGTTAGTATTAACGGGCTCGAGGTAAGATTGTCGACACGTGTGACAAGTCCCGGACGGGCCTCTCCATGCCTCGCGCGGTCGTTCCCCTGTCGCCGCCCAAAAGGCGGCTTTTGAAATGTGACAGCCGACAGCGCGAAGCCCGCTTGGCCCTCATTTTCGGTGACTCTTGGTATAAACGCCGGGCGTCCTGCTGTTTGCGTTGGGTGCGAGCTGATGCATCCTGCGGTTTCTGAACCTGTACCTGTACCCCCCTGCCCAGAAGGCAAAAGCTCGACGAGTTGAAAGTGGTGCCTCGCGGACTTTGTTCGTCGTCACGGCCCCGGATCCTGTTTCGGTCATACGACTGTTCCCTTTTGCTTTGAACACACCTGCCTACTTCCCTATTCTGTTCCTGTTCCACCAAGATGAGTATTGTGTATAGGCGCCTCGACCCCTCAAAGCGCGAAATCCGCCTGCTGGAGATCCAGTCCGCTCGCAACCTCAATGACCCAATTGAGTGTAAACTCGTCACGGTCCGCGTGACGGACGACCTCGAGTTCATCGCGCTCTCGTCTCTCTATGGCGATGCCAAAGAGACGGAGCGCATCTACATCTCGGGGCTGCCAGTGACCATTACCTCACACCTGGCGTCAGCCATCAAGAACATCCGCGCCGTCTTCTATCCCACCATCTCGCGGAGGTTCCAACGAACTCCGGCCCGACGCCCGCATGGCGCCCCGAGATGGTTTCGTCAGCTCTTTGGCGCAAACTCGGCACAGCGTGGAGAGCTTGAAGCTCGCTCTCTTCGCGTCTGGGTCGACCTCGTATGTATCAACCAGAATGATGAGGAAGAGCGTCATCGCCAGACGCTCGACATGCGTATGATCTACAAGGCTGCCGAGCTCGTCGTCGGCTGGCTGGGTGATAAGACAGAGCACACAGATGTGGCCATGATGACGCTGGCCGAGATCGAAGACGCCATGCCGGCTCACTGGGGAGACCCAGGTGACCGTGAAAAGCATCCTGAGGATTACTCTCCAACGCATCGTTGGGCTCGACCCATCACTCACATCTGGTCTCCGGGCCCAGGAGGCGAGATTCCCTTCATGATGCCTCACTGGGTTGGATGCAACGACTTCATGACGCGCCAGTACTTCCAGCGGCGTTGGATCCTTGAGGAAATTGCTCTCGCCCGCTTTCCCACCTTTCTTGTTGGCGACATCATCGTTCCATGGAAGCAAGTACTCCGTCTCAATCGAATGATGGAGGAGTTCAAATACCACCCATCGGAAGTGTTTGAAAAGGTATAGTGTCTTCCCTATCTTCTTGGCTCACACCAGACATGAACGCTAACGCGCTGTTGCAGGAACTGAGCGCCATGATTGCTGAATTACCCCTGGAGACGGCCCACAAGCTCTTGGATGAGTTTGCCAGGAGAGAGGCCCTCGAGGAAGCCCGCATTCTCAAAGAGACGGGCAAGAGCAGAGCTACTTCTTCTACACGTTCTAATGAATAGCCCACACACACACACGGTGGGATAATTACAGTGATATTTGTTGTGACGGGAGCGGCGGCGTCAAAGCGGTTCATTCACAAAGTTGGCATTTCGCGGGTTTTGGTGTGAAGGGCATGACAGGATACCCAAAGGTTGACTTATACGCAATGAGGATACCCCATAAAGAATTTTCCTATTTCCTTCTTGATTCAGCACGATAAATTGTTTTTGTATTTGGGTATTCTTGTCTTAGATTTGGATTTTATTTTTTTGTCTTTTTTCATTTGTTTGTGCTCTTTATTCTTGTCTAATTCGACGTCCGCACAGTTACATGCGCGGCTCATTTTCCCATCTCGGCGAGCTTGTGCAGCTACACTTTGCTGAAATGAGATGTTCCCTTTTGTCCGGACTGGGCACCCAGTATGATAACATTATTATAGATCAATTGGTACACGTAACAATAAAAGAAAAGAAAAGAAACCCCCCAATTTATTAATACATCACTTTTGTAATTGTGCTTTGAGTGGCAGCACCCTGAACCAACATACCGGAAGCGTTGCATCTCCTGCAGCCAGACATGCCGTTGGTTGATGAGTTGCAGGAAGACGATGATACCTTACGGTTTTGGTATTGCATCTTACCCTGCATAAAGTTCTTCTGGAATACTACTCCAACAATCCGGTAATAAGTCTATCATTCCAATCCCCGTCATGATTGTGGGGAAAATCATCCATCACTGCAATTGTCAAAAGTAGCATTAATATGTATCTACCTGCTCTGAGTTGGAAAACTATCGGTAGACATGATTTATCGTAGATTGTATCGCATACAGTAAACATTCCGATTCGGTAATATAAATATACCCACATGTAGTAATTTCTTATCTAATTCCTCCTCGTGTAACTCATTACCTATACAAGTCATTATTTGGCATCAGGCGGGGTCGTTGCCATCGTATGCTCCATATGAGAGGACACCATTGGATGCCAGTTTTTCAGTTGACATGCTCCACAAGTCCAGGTCCTTTGCTTCTAGAATTGCTCGGCTTGGAAGAATTCCCAACAGACTGGGCACAGCTACGGAGTACTGTATCGCCTAACGAAGCGGTCAAAGCCCGAGAAGCACGTTATTCGTGCTTGGTAGCTCCGAGTAGATAGGAGAACACCATGTGGAACTGCCACGTTGAGGGGGTCGTTTTATCCAAAGTACCAGCATATGGGAACAAGTATTGTGACAACTGACATGGAGCCTGCAAGCAAAATTGCCACAATGGCCCTTACCAGTCCGCCGGCTATATTAATGTACCCAAATGGAGTTTACCCACCGCGTATGTCATCCCATCTTTTGCCTAGCTCACCGACACTTTTGGTTAAATGTCCTATCATGCCCACTTTCACCAACGACTGTTGGTCGTGGCAAATCCAGGGTACTGATCAATTGGGACACGACAAATCATCAAGTGCGGAAGATGCCGTAGAAGTCTATGTACTGCTGGAATTGAGAGTAGTTTTCTAGATAAGAAAACGGCCTTGTCAAACTTGATATAGAGCACAGCTTATACCGAAGCAATGTTGCTATAAGTTCGGCTATCTTTGAAATATTGCTTCTGAAGAAATAGATGTGAAAGGGGTAGATTTTGAAGCCATGTACAGCGTCATCCAGGGACGATCAGTCGCTTGCCCTCACAATCTTTCGGACATGTGTGATGTTAACTCTTTCGTGACGATGATGCACCAAACAGAAAGTATCCAGTGTACCTCTTCCTTCTGAAGATGACATGAGAAAGATAGTATCATATCCTTTATATTGAGAGAGTTGCCTTATCCAGCAGTCCGGCCCTGCCATTGTTGAAGAGAATTTGAAGCCAATGATGAACATGAAGAAAGAGGTGGCAAAGAAACCGGAATAATGAAAACCTCGATGATATGTCCAATTGATTGAAACTAAAGCCCATGGCCCTTTGGCTTGCTCTAAAAGTGGGAAGCTTTAAGAGATTGCATTGCATTAGTATTGTTATGCTGTTGCTTTCCCCTTAACTGCATCCGGCGTTTGGAGTATTTTGCATGGCCAAGTCCCAGATAGGCAACTGAGTTACCAATAGTTATTGGAGGAGTTGATATCATAATAAGGTTATATTGACTGGCTGTCTAGGCTATCTCATAATCGAAGCGGCCTTATATATCCGGCAGAGTTTTCTAAGCAACTTAGAGAGCTGGCCCCCCTTATGTATTATATGATTGGTCTTTCGATTCAATGCGTGTCTATTGTGCTCGGATTGAGGCTGTAAGTTGGTTTGTAACATTATGAGCATGTAGTTACACCATTAAGAGCATCCTGATTGCAATCATTCAGATTGTTTGTGCATGGGCTGGATGTCTAATAGTACATTATTAGCAAAAGAATAAACCTTGATGAAAATTTGAACAGAGTATTTGCTTACAGGACAGTCCGAAAAGGTATCCGTTGGATTGCCATTGAAATCAAGCGAATGGCAGCTTCCGGCACCAAAGGCACCGCCAAAGAAGCATTTTCCTGGGCCTATCGCAAGGGCTGCAGGCGCAAACAGAATTGCTGCGGCAATGAGATTGATGTTGAACTGCATGTTGAAATTGTCGAAGAATATTGAGAATGTGTTGTCTTAAAACAAGAGTGGTGAGATGAATTGCTGTTTGGAACTGCAGCTTGGGCTCAGCTTCTTTATACTTCTTTTTCTTCACCAAAACTCCCTAGATATATATATAGCAACGAGATCAACACTCAATTGCCTTGATTGCTATACTACCCTCTAAATGCATAGCTTTGAAGTGTCGATCAGGTCTGAGTAAGCTTAACGTTACGTGAGTAAGGCTAATGTGAAGTTAATTTGGCGTAGTGTCATTGTTTCAAGATGTTGAAGAAAGGTAATCGTATTGCTGATCTACTGTAAATAGCATCACATCAATTGACTAGATGGGTGGCTCTTGATTACCATGTACTTTCCAGGTCGGGGAAAGAAGACTGATACGCATTTACCAGATTTACACATACAAGTTTTACCCTCCATTGCAAGCTTCCGTATTACGCTGCCCATTGGGCTGTCGCGCTAGCGTGGGCTACTTAACGATGAGGACAAATGCTGCTCTCTTTTTAGAATACGAGATTCAGTGTCAGCTATACTATACAGGTCCAGAAGATGCATCTCCAGGTCAGGTGCTGGCAAGACACCCATTTCAGAACAATCTGCTGGTCACAGACGGCAGCTGGGATCAACACCTTTTGCATCTCTGTAACTTGTTGTAGTGCTCCCCAGCCCTACGCCCCTCAGCTCTCTGACTTACAGTCTGACATGATCATTGGGGTACAGAAACAAGGCTGCCAGCTGAGGGCTAATTGGTAAACTTTTTGCCTTACTTAAAAATACCTATATTCCGTACTACGTGCGATAAATTTGGAATATAGTTTAAAGTGTAACTGAGCCTCCCCTTACGCCCTCTGAACCCGTGTATATTAGCAGGTCATGTTCAATGTTGTTGTTGTGCTGTGGCCGAGCTAACCTGCGCTATGCAAGGGCTTAGATGACATTAGGGGGCTCAGTTGTTCAACACAGCCATTCACTGGTACATGTAGCAATTGGTGCATTTTCTCAACCTGGAAAGTATGTAATAATCGCCCGTACAAAAGTTGGCGCTGATATGCCGCTTACCAGTCCGCCAGCTAATAAAGGACAAAAAGCAGTTCACGCACTTCGCACTCCATACTTCATATGTTGGCACGTTTTGCACCTAGCTCACCGACATTTTGGTATAAATCTCTGTCGCTGCCCACTTCCAGCATCTTGTCGTTGGCCGTGGCAAAACCCGGATTGTCACGGCATCCATTTCATTCGCCAAACATACCTGCTAGCTGGGCGCAATTTTTCAGATGTTGGTTCCAGTGCGGGCGGAGCTCAAATTCAGGGGAACCGTGGGGGAAGAAATCATACTCTGGTACTCCGTAGAAGGGGTGAGTATTTGTGATACTGCAACTCTGTAGATTGCGACACTGGGTATGACCGGATCCATTAGCCTACTCTAGTGTGCTGTTGGTCCTCAACGTTGAAGAAATTATTTCTTTGGCTGTTGTTGGCTCCATAGGTACCCGTGAATCGAACCATACATGCAGTAAATTACATCAAGGATGTCAAATAAAGCCTCACGCCGAAGCCGGTGGTAGTATCGCCAGGAAATTACCACCACCTAGATGATATGGAGAGAGATACCGATATCAATCACTGCCTCGCTCCTTCGCTTTCCCCATGGGCAATGAACCAATCCGAGGGTAAATTTCCTCTTCTAGAAAAAGAAAATACCGACCGGATGACTTTATGCTTTGCGATATGATGGCCGTGAACAGGGTAAGTTCACATTATCGATAACGCCATCCATGTGAGCTGTCAAGGGTTGGAAGGATTAGTAAAGCATCTTTACAACGAGGTAAATGGGAGTCGCTGAGCATTGATTGGTGAGTATACACGCAACTTCCCGAGCGATTGGGGGTTCTCAGAGTAGAAAGACACGAGAGCAGGTAAACAATTGAGTTGATGCCACCATTCTAGTCATTGCGGGAATATGTCCATGCTCATTGCTAGTTTTCAGACAAGACGGGGACAGGATTCTTCTGCCTTAACATAGTTGAGGCGATACTTGCTACTTGAATGTGTGGGTTTCTGGTTTTGAACATATCTATACCTGGTTTGTCGCTAATAAGTGGTAGATTCAACCAAGTCTACTAAACTAGACTGCTGTTCTCAAAACTTGTCTCACCCCGCATCGACTTAAAGGAGATCCAGATCCATCATGACAACAACTACAAATTGCAGCGTAAAATGACTAAAGTGAGACACTGCCCCAAACTAGTTTCACAAGCGCTCGGATTCGGTCGCCGCGGACAAAAAACCCAAGATGCCGTGAATCTAATTTAGGTGAGATGAGCTTAAAAATTGCCCGGACGCGATCTATCCGGATCAGCTGAGATGGCGCGCTTCTTGGCCCGCCGTATTCGTAATCGGAACGCCTTGGCCAGACGCCATACAAACAAACAAACACCACGCCTGAACTGAAGATATCTCACACAAGCTTTCATCGCACCATTGTGATGAGCAATTAACAAAGAAAACTCACCTGATTCTCAACGATAGAGTGGCGTCACAGCATCTTGATCCATGCAATAGGTTTCTCTATCGACGCACGTGCAAACATGACGGGGACAAACCCCAAATATGACTTTGGCGGGCCGTAAGTTCGATGACAAAATCAAGAGCGCGAAAGCCGCCTTTCTAACGCGTTATCCAGGCTAGGCACTTCTGCTATTGTCTTTGGCCTCCCCGTGCTGCTCTACTTCTTCTACTTCACTTGCAACGATGTTGCCGGCTGTCCCGCGCCGGCCCTCCTGGAGCCTCGCTCCCTCACTGTCGCAGAGCTGAGAAGCCAGATCCCATGGCCTGAGGATGGCATCTGGGGCTTTGCCAGCTGGAAGGTCAGCGGCTGGGTTGCAGCTTATTACCTGCTTAGTCTGGTGCTCTATCGAGTGCTTCCTGGACAGGAGATTTACGGCACGAAGCTGAGAGAATCAGGCCGGCCGCTCAAGTACAAGCTAAATGGTACGCAAGGCGGATGTGAAAGAGATAGACGCTGGAGAAGAGACGCAATGCTAACAATCGATAGCGTTTTCTTCCACGCTCGTCCAGCTGGCTGCATGTGCTGTAGGAACTGGTCTGCATGGCGCTGATTTCGCCGTCTGGACCTTTATCGACGAAAACTACTTGCAGATTTACACAGCCAATCTCATCCTCGCAATCGCAATCTCAGTGTTTGTGTATGTACGAAGCTTCAGCGTCAAGCCAGGCAACCCTCAATTGAGGGAACTCGCCCAAGGAGGCCACACTGGCAGTATCATGTACGACTTCTTCATTGGGCGTGAGCTGAACCCTCGTATCACGCTTCCCCTTTTCGGAGAGATTGATCTCAAAGTCTGGCTTGAAATGCGGCCAGGCCTGACTGGTTGGATTCTGCTCGACCTTGCCTTTGTTGCGAAACAGTATCGCACTTACGGATACGTGTCCGACAGCATCCTCTTCATTGCCGCTGTGCAGAGTTACTACGTCCTCGAAGGCCAATATGCTGAATCGGGAATCCTCGGCATGATGGACACCATCACAGATGGGCTGGGATACATGCTCACCTTTGGAGACATTGTTTGGGTGCCGTTTTTGTACTCTACCCAGACGCGTTACCTCTCCGTCTTCCCCTTGCAGCTAGGCTGGGCGGGAATTGCCGCCGTGTCCGCCGTATTCATTGTGGGAGTGTACATATTCCGCGCCTCTAACTCGCAGAAACGCATATTTCGCACGCAGCCGGATCACCCCAGCGTCAAGGGCATGTCGTATATCCAGACCAAGCGAGGCACAAGACTTCTCGCCGATGGCTGGTGGGGAGTATCGCGCCACATCAATTACTTTGGAGATTGGCTTCAGGCTTCGCCTTTTAGTCTTCCTACCGGCGTGGCAGGATACTTGATTCTCCCAGCTGGGACCGTTACCACTGCAGGTGTGGGCGTTGCTACGATGCTGGATGGCCGAGAGGTAGTTCAGGGTGCGGCAAGGGGCTGGGGTATGGTTTACACGTACTTGTACGTCGTGTACTTTGCTACGTTGTTGATACATCGCGAGAGACGGGATGACGTTGCGTGTGCTGAAAAGTATGGCAAGGACTGGGACAAGTACAAGAAGACTGTGAGATGGAGAATTTTGCCTGGTATTTACTGAGATTTGGGGAAGCCACATAAATACATACTATCATTGGCTTTCTTTACCTTTGCGACAGATGCTCTGATATTGGCGCACCTGTTGCTCCTTTATAGCAGTGTTCATCAGAGTTGGCCAGCATTCACCACGATCCGCCACTTTGAACATATAGTTCAGTTCTCATGACAACCCTCTTGGTATATGAGACAAGATTTGCGCCTCTTTGCCGGTGCTCAAAGTTTACTTTGTTATTGTTTCTTATCTGGGCCTCTATATAAACATCGGCGTGCCCATCATGTGCCCGCAGCTCTTTCGTGAATACACAACATTGACCTTTCCATTCTCATTCTGCCAAAAAGACTCATGGATCCCAAGCTGTTAGCAATAGCCAGTGCCTTGGTCTTATACCTTATAAGCCGACTTATATATACACTCACGAGCAAAATATCACATTGTCCCAAGATGATGCGTGATCCTGACTACGTCAGGTTGGATCCTCCATTGATCCCGGGGCTCCGCCGGAAGCAAAGACCGGATAACTGGCCAGAAAAGACAGACATTGTCTGGAAGAAATTCGTTGCCCCACAGGATGTAAGTTGACCATCCATCTGAGACATGGCTATTATTACCCTATACTGATATATTCTAAATAGGTTCTTGACAAATCAAGTCCCGTCACAGCCTCAAAAGCTGGCATTCTAAATCTTCCTACGGAACTCGTACTACAAATCTTCTCCCACACGAGCCAAGAGAGCGGCATCTGCCTGGCTCTCACCTGCAAGAGCCTTCTCGTGGCTTCAACACTCGCCAATCTCCAGCGGCCAACTTTGCCTCCGGAGAACCGAATTCCCTTTTCGGATTACGAGGGTGCAATTCTCCATCCCGGTCATCGTCATCCGGAGCATCTCTCACGAAGAGCAGTGATCACGTTTGCCTTCCTCGTCCACCCCCTTGATGACAGACTGAGACGGTCACAATCGATTAAATTCTGCCAAGATTGCCTTCGCTATCGGCCGACGGAACCTAGCTGGTGGGCAGGCAAGGGCGCACCATGCCCCGGAAAGGTAGCAATCGGAAGACACTGGGCGCTCGTTGTCGAGCATTGGCAATATGGGCTGATGCTTCAATGCCCGGAGTGTTGGTATTCCGATCACAAGACAGGTTGTGAAGGATGCCGGAAGAGAAAAGATGGAGCAGTCAGAAATGCTCCAGTAGAGAATTTGGTGCACGGACAAGGGTCATTGAGATCTGAGCACATACTCGCACGCATATATCACAAATTTACGAGAGCCAGTACATAGAACGACCCATGTAGCTTTTAATCTGTTCAACTCACCCATAGTCCTTCTTCAATACAATACACAATTTTTACATATTCATAGGAATCCCAACATTGTTATCCATCTCAGGAAATAGAGGATGAAGCAAAAAAGTCACAAATTGATCTATCCCCATTGCCAAGAACAAGCGTTCCCCCACGAAGAGAAGACAGAGAAGTCAGCCATGGCGAAAGCATAGACACATCAATAAATGCAGCTGACGCTTCTCCACCGCTTGGAACCGGAAGGCCATGAACCGAGCACGGCCAGAATAAGCTTAGGAGATGCTTGTTTCCTCTTCCTAGGCCAAGTAAGCTTGAATGCATCGACGCAAAACGGCCCAATAAAGAAGGAGAGCGGATGCGGGGATCGGAAGCATCAGCAGCCAGCGACTCCCTGCATATTGAAATCGATAATAATTACGTCGATACAATATTGGATCATGGCGATGCTGAGGCTGAGGCTGAGGCTAAGTCCAATTGACCCCATGCTCAAGCGCACCGACAACCCGAAACCTGAAGCAATGGCGCGTTTGGAGCTCTAAAACACGGAGCATTTCGTTGTCCAGATTTCCCATCTTACACTAAGAAAAACCCCCGGCTCGGGCAATACTTGTTCCTCTCCCGCGATGCTGAAACGAAGCCCCAAGAAAAAGAAACCCGATCGTCAAACAGGGGCGATTTCAGCGTGAAACTCGTTCCGCGTGTGTCGAAGTTTTGGCCTTGAAAAATGCCACCGTCTGTGCTGGGCGCGTGGATGCCCCCAATCATGAGCTGATGAAGAGAGAATCAGCGGCAGTACGGCAGAAAGGGGACAAATCAGCGATGTCATGGAGTAACAGAAATGTTCAATAATATCCACGGAATCAATATTGGCGGCGATTATTATCATTTGACAAATTGCTCGTGCAGGATGCATTTGCTTCTGGCTTGTGACCCGGAACTCGGGCGCATTGACACATCCCAAATTGGCAATTTTGATGCTCAAATTCATCCGGACATGCCAGCGTCGATCTGGACGCACTCAATCGAGGCCTGTATCTCGTGTATACCGAATCACATGAAACCTCTTTGTTTTCCACAGCTCTCGCGACATGTCAATTGAAACACCACAACGTCTATTTCGACCTCTGTTTCCTCCCCTTGCCTCATTAAACTCACATCTCCAAAACATCCATCACTAACATGTGAAGAATAAAAATGCCACTATTCCAGAAACTAACCCCACCAGCCGATCGCCGCAAAACATTAGGCGCATGAACTTTGGAAACCCCATTGTCGCAGAAATCAGCGCCTCCCGAAAACACCCCCTTGTCTCCATGTCTTCTCCCCCCACACTCTACATCTCTTTACGCCTCTCTCAACGGATCCCCCTGGGAGAAGCGCATAGACGCAGCAGAATGCGATCAAACGTTGCCTGGTTTCGAGACCTCCGCCCCCTTGTTTGGAGCGCCGCCCGCCCTGGAGTCTATCCGAGTCCGTGTCAAGCATAAGCGTCCGTGTCAGTGAGAGAGCATCTTTCGCCCGGCGCCTCGGCCAGATTTCGCCAGGGCAGGGGAAGTTGAGACGCTGAATCGAGCTGGTTAGTTTTAGTCTCGCGAAACAAAAAGGTAAAAAAATAAATAATTAATACAAACGGAAGGGGAGTTGCTTTGCGATCCATCCTGTATAAGAGGAGCCATGAGTCCGGCCTGATACAGACTTCCTTCCTTTTCTTCCCCATCACCAACTTCCACCTTCACCTTTTCCTTCAACCTTCACTTTCAAGGCCCGGTGCCACTTTCCCAACCTTCCTTTCTTTCAGAGTCCCGACCTGGTGTCGCTTGCTTCGTTTTTTCTTTACGATTCAAAACAACTCTCTCTTTTTTTGGAACTTTCCACCACTATCTTTATTTTTACACAACAAACACAAAAACATCATTACAAAACACCGCCAAAATGGTTCGCTTGTCTGTTGCCGCTCTCTTCACTTGTAAGTTGGATATCAGCTCCTCTTCTGCCTTCGAGGGTCCGCTTTTCTAATATCTCTCTCTAGACACTCTTTCTGTCTACGCCCTCGGCGACCCTGCTGGTGCCAAGAACGTCGGAAATGGTAACGGTGGTCAATTTGTACGCTCCAAATCTCTCCTCACGAATCTTCCACAAGTTCAATATAACTGACTTCGACTCCAGATTGGCGGCGAGTGCCTGTCCAGCAAGGACTGTGCTTCGACCTGCTGTGCCTTCATAAGCGGCGGTGGTGTTTGCTCTGTAAGTTATCAATGCTCTCCTCTCCTCTTCTAGTCCAGGACTAACCTTTGCATTCAAGGGTATTGGTGCCCAGTTCCAGGCTGGGAAATCGGGTTGTGGTTTTGGTGATGGTGGTGCTCCTCCTTCTCAGCCCAGCGGTGGCGACTCCAGCTCTGCTGCCCCGGCTGCTTCCCCTGCTGCTGCCCCTGCTGGCTTCGACGCTTCCGTCGGTGATCCCAATGGTGCCAAGAACCTCGGCAACGGCGCGGGCCAACAGTTCATCACTGGTGCTTGTCTTAGCAACGCTGACTGTGCTTCCGGATGCTGTGCTGCTCTCAACGGTGGTGCCGTCTGCTCTGGCGTCGGTGCTCAGTTCCAGAACGGCAAGCAAGGCTGCGGCTTCAGCAGCAGCGGCGGTTCCTCTTCTGCTGCCCCTGCCGCCCCTGCCGCCCCTGCCGGTGATGCCAACAACGCTGCTGCTCCTCCTGCTTCTTCTGCTGCTCCCGCTGGTTTCAACGCCGCCGTTGGTGATCCCGCCGGTGCCAAGAACCTCGGAAACGGCGCGGGCGCGCAGTTCATTACTGGAGCTTGCCTCAGCAACGCCGACTGCGCTTCTGGATGCTGCGCTGCTCTCAACGGTGGTGCCGTCTGCTCTGGTGTTGGCGCTCAGTTCCAGAACGGCAAGCAGGGCTGTGGCTTCTCCGCTGCCAAGCGCAGTGTTGAGCGCTCTCGCATTGCCCGCCGCTTCCGTGCTTAAGCTATGACAACCCGGTGGTATTGGTATCAAACGGTGGCTGGGATTGAGACAAAATCGATAGTCATTATCTACCTAATTCTTCCACTGTACGACTAGACCTTAATAGATATTCACTATCATTATAACTATGGACACTCTCATTGTGACTATGTCGTTGTGAATAGTAGATGCTATGAATAAGGACATTATACTTGGACTATGGAGATGCTTAATGCAAGTGAGGATTCCTGAAACTGGTCAGTATCATACGATATGTTCATCTAATGGGGATTGCCTTACTTCATCATTTCCTCCGAGTAGGGTCCCTCTCCAGTTGCAGCCTGGATCATCATCACAAAGTGACTCCTGCAGCTGTACAGCTTGAAAGTGTCCACAAGCCCCTCGTCGTCAAAAGTGGCAACGAGCGTCTCGGGAAAGTCCTCCAGCACCTTGCTGTGTACGTTGTACCGGTTCTCCATCTCGAGAAAAACACGCGAGTCTTGCTCGTTGATTTGTTGGGAAACGACTTTTCGTTTCTCCAGGTACTGGTCCTTCATCATTTCCCGGAGAGTGGAAACGATGGCCTGGCGGTTGAGGTCGGGGTCTTTGGCTTCTCGCATGCTCTTGAGGAAGACGGTGCAGTTGTTGGAGAAGAGGGAGGCGAACTTCTCGAGGTCTGCGTCTGAGGAGTCGGGGCGGAGGGATTCGTATTGGGAGTAGAGTGTGTTGAGGCGGTTTTCGAGGACAGTTGCGGAAGGCATGTTGAAGATGATTGTTGTATAAGACTATAAGGGTTGTAAGGATGGAGCTTGTCTTATCACTGATCTAGTGGTCAAGGTAGAGTAAGGTATATTGGGTTGTTGAATTCGTTGATTGATAGAGACTATTAGTGTGGGCAACATAGGGGAAACCTCCCCTATATATATTTCGACTTCACCAACTCGTGGAATTGGGTTACTAGTTGGATATCATTAGAAAGACCCTGGAAATTGGTTTCGCTGAGGTTCGCGGCCAAAGTTACTTTGAGCCACCGAATCAGATGTTGCTGATTTTCGCCAAATCTAGACATTGCTGAATTTTCGCTTGCAAAGGGGTAATCGCCTCCTCTATCGTGTCAGCATGGACTTGATGCTTCGAGGACTTTGTCTCTTCATCACACAAACTCCGCTCCTCGCCCATTAGGTAATTCACAGTAATCCATCTTCTTCCTGATCATCTAAGCGCAACTCAGGACAATCCAAACACCGAGGCTGCAAGGGTTCAAGTTAGAAGCAATAGGATCAATGCTTCTTCGCGAAAAAAACCCACTTCCAATGCATCCCATGATGTAAGTCGGGACAACTTTTTTCGGGCGGCGCGCGCGCTTCATCTAACGGGATAGTGAAATCTCCGCAGCTTTATTTCCGCATATCATCTCTCTTCGAGGTAAGGTAGTACTCCGTAGTATTTTACTCGAATGTCTCAGTTTGTAAGTCTGTATACAACCCTGATTCTGGATGGGGGAATCTTTACGCAATCACATGGGCAAATCATGTGTGGGATCTGCACCGGTTTTGGGCTACTTGGAGCGAGCTGAAGCTTAGCAAAGAATTGGAAATGCGGTGCCTTGTTTACGTGTAATTAATTGATCGGGATATACCCGCTGAGCTCCGCTAAAAACCCGTCAAGATGAAACCCTTTGGGTCTGCTTATTTAAGAGTTACACATCACGATGGTTGCATTTATTTGCATTGAAATCATCTGATAATATAAATGTTACTTTGGATAGTGTTGCCTGAATAAATGCTGCAGGTTGAGTGTAATGAGGGATTAGCCCCTGAAGTAAACCATATGGCCTCTAGGAATACCACCAATGTATTATATGAACTGACATCTTCTGGGAAGCTTGGTCATGAACAAATATTGACTAAATTTGGCTGTAAATGCAATAATAAACTCCCCTATGACACAGATATATCTCTCATAGCATCCACCTACCCCCAGCGCTCAATAAATTCGTCTCTCTTCTCGCTCTTGCGATCCCTTCGTTGACCCTCGACGGCCGCCAGCCTGTCCTTTACGCCCTCCACCTCTGCCGCCAAAACAGTAATGGAGCCGGAAATCTCTGGATCGACCAGCCTGGGGTCATTAAACGGGCTCTCTGCCAACACGCTGTCCCGCAGCAGCTGAATGGCTAGTCTCGTGTCGTTTAGCTGCGCCAGGGCGCCCATCTCAAACGTCTCCTGCGCATTCCGGGCAATCTCGTCGTACTTGTTCCATCTCTCATCGAAAATCTTGGACAAGCCCACCATCTTCGCCCTGACATCGGCCTCCTCGGAAACGGATGACGGGATCGACAGGGTGTACATGAGGGTATCGAGCGGGGGCTCGTCGACGACGCCAGACGACCTTCGGCGGTGCTGAGAGCCAACAGTGTTGGAGCGCTTCCGCGCAGGTGTTCCAGATTTGCTCGGTGAAGTCGGGAAGATGGATACGGGCGCGGATGACGACGACTGCTTCACGGGCGGCAGGATCTCAACAGCCATCTCCGTCTTGGCAGTGGTGATGAGTGCTGCTGCGGCAGCTTGGTGCGACAGATGGGTCTCGATGCGTCCTTGGATTCGATCCAGGCGGCCCATTAGATAATCGAGACATTTATCAATCTTTGATCTTATTAGAGACCAATCCAAGCAATGGAGAGCTGTCTCTGATACTCACATAGGCCAAGGCATTGGATGTGCGCATCGCACTTTGGCCGCCCTCCGTGGAGACCGTCTGCAGCGCCGGCTCGAGGTACTGCTGCTCCACAGATATCTGAGCAACGGAAAGTATTTCCGAGTGCAACGACTCGACCTCGGCTTCGAGCGCCTTGACCTCGTCGTCCGTCGTAGGTTTGACACGCCCCGAGCGCTCAGCTTCCACAAGCGTCTCCATGTAGGTGGTGTCCAGTTTGGCTCGGACTGTCTCAACCGTAATCTTGACCAGGCTAATACAGCTCGGCGGTTAGCAAACAGAGGCTGCTACTACACGTAGGTACGAGAGGGCAGCTAACCGCGAGCAGATTTCACGCAGCTTGTCAATCTTGGACGTCTCATCCGGATCGGGCTGCTCCAGCTCCCAGCCCAGCTTCTGCAGGTTGGCTAGGATCTTGTCATCTCCCCGGAATATCTCGCCCAGGGTGCCCTTGAGGTTGGATCCGGCCTGGGTGCCTTGCTCCTCGAGGTCAGAGATGCGGAAAGCAAGGCTCTGCGAAGCTGCCTCTACCTAGACATGCATGTCAGCGAGCCTGTAACCTCTGATACAGCCCCCCTCCCCCTTCGTATAGCGTCTGGCCATGTTACCTCTGCGGCAACCCGCTGCCGTTCCGACTCGGATTTGCTTTGCCTATCCAGGTCAAGATCCCGTCTTCGGGCATCATTTTCAGCACGCTTCCTGACAAGACGCGACAGCGCATCCTGCTGGTGGCGAAGAGTCTCGCTCTGTTTCGTGATGCTCTCGGTGGACCTCCTCAGCTCCTCAATGGCCACCTTGATATCGTCCTCGGTGACGCTCTGCACCTCGGATAGGTCATGGAGGTTGGCCAGAATGTCGACCTGGCCGTTCCTGTCTAGCAACGAGTATCTACACAATCAGCGGCTGATGTGCAACCGGCGCCTGCATACTCACATTGCCAGCTCATCAGGGCTCAGTAGGTTGTCCGTCGTGAGATGCAAACTCGCCCACTCAGCCAATGCGGCGCCGTAGTGATCGTGCCTAAGATGCTGTTGCACCTCGTCCCTGCGAACCTGGACGCCGTACGTGCGGGCAGCCTTGAGCAAAAGGGCCTCGGCATGCACCCTGGTCTCGAGATCCATTTTGAGCCTGTGGTTGAGCGAGGTGGCGTTTCCAGAAAGCCCGATTTCGGGGAGTCGGTCGTACAAGAGCTGCGTGGGTGAGGGGAAGTCGGGTTCTGTTCGATGCTGTGATGTTTCCCAAACCTCCACGCCTTATTCCACCGTTGTTGCTAATGATTCACAGATTTCGTAGGTGACACGGGGAGATGCCTTGCTTTTTGTTCATTTCACCCCTGGATGATGGAAGAGCTCACAATGCTCGATGCTCTCCCCGTAAGAGGGGCAGACTGACTGACTCTCTCCCCAGGCTGCTGCTGTTGGCGCTGAGAAGCGGTGCAACCCCTGAAGCTGCGAGTGATGGAGATTGAGGAATTGACCAATTCGTATTCGCGTATCGTATCTAGATGACTGGTGTAGGATTGATGCACATGTATACCTAGTAGGTAGGTAGTTGTAGAGAGCAACAATTGCCCAGGTGTTTGTACCTGAGCTGAGCTGAGCTGTCTTGGGTCGCACCAGCATTCATAAGGTTGGGTCTCAATTCGGGATAATCGTGGATCATTGCGGCCCCTGTAAAGCCACGCTGCCACACGCCTAGCAGCCCCTGTAAGCAGCATGCCAATGCGCCACTGCCGCCTGACAGGTGCCCGGCATTACGATGGGCCGCCATCCATGTCTCGAGCCGCATCTTCATGCAATCAAGTCGGCTTCGATATTAATTGTTAATCTATCTGGCCCTGATCAAACGCGCACAAGCCATGTGCATGTAGCAAACAGCCAGGGTGATGCAACTTTACCACGTCATGTCGAGTGCTGAGCCCATCGAAAATTCTCCGACCAGTCGAGGAAGCACATGAACTACATATATAGGCATGATGGACTCCATGTCTAGAGACTTCCAAGCGCCTTGTTCTCCTTGTCCAACGTCTTGCAGCACCGACGCTGTGGCCCAGGAAGCTTTTGCACCACTCTGTACGGCACGGGCTGGCTGTTGTCGGCTTCGAAACAGCGATGGACTCTTGTAAGAATTGCGACGCTCCAAGGCTAACGTCCCGGATGCCCTCTTGGCCGAGTAAAACAGGATCCGTGAGCGGCGGATCGCCCCGGGACGGCAATGGATAGAGCTTGCGAGTCTCCTCCAATTTGTGTTCCTGGACTAGATACCGATCATGATGCTATATCGAGCAGCTCTAGTTTTGCGCCATGTGCCACGGCATCTCCAACGGGAGGGACGGTGCCGCCTTTTGGCCAGAGGTCCTCTCTAGTCTGCGTTGCTGCATGCATATAGACAGACAGACCAGACTCTTCTGTCTATACTCAGGCAAGGCACCTTGCATTGACCAACAATCTCGTTATCGAGTTTGGTTGCTGGACAATTCTATCCATGGCTGCTGCTCTATATAAGCAGATGAAGGATGCAGAGATGAGTGGAAGTGAAGCCGTAAATGCGCATCTATTGAATCTCGGCCCGTATCCCGGTGGACCAAGTCTCCGGACGTGGGACACATGTCTCAACCCTCGGCCGCCTACAGGGAAGCCGGTCCGCGAATCTATCAGACGGCAACGAAGTCTTGTCGATTTACCAGCGCGGTTCGTCGCCGTTCATCTGACGTCTCTCAACGCGGTAGGCCTTGCGGAAAGGCACAGCGCCTGACGACGGATATGACCAGCGAGCAACGGCCTCGATCATATTTGTTCGGATGGATATGTGACTTGAAGCTGTAGGATGTCTGGCTACGTTATGTATTCTGCAGAAATGCGCCCAAGTCCAAATATCGAGCTCCTCCCTTCACCCAGCCACGATGATGGTGTGACTAGCTGTGATGCATGGATCGATATACGTGGTCCAGGTTCTCTTCTTCACCATACTTGTCCCTGGACATCCCCCATTCACCAATACATCTTGGCCTGTCATTGATGGGTGTAGCACAATGTATCCTTGTATCAAGTGTCAGTGTCAATGAAGGGCAAGTCGGAAGTAGCTCCGTCTTGACCGCCTGCCATCAGCTGTCCGAAGAGCACTGCCCAACCCGACAGCTGGTCGGAGAAAAAGAGAGTCAGAGACCGAAACAGTTTCAGTTCCAGTTCCAATTCTCTCCGATTCGGCACAAGAATTCCATTATCGGAAATTCCAGGGTGCCGCAATTTCGCATCCTCTCGCACAAGAGCTGCAACTGAACTGCACTGCGCAAAATCCCCCAAGACATGGCCGAATCCAGCATCTGGCGGCTTCGCTGGAACAGGGCCATTGCTCAGGGGGCCGGATACCTGCTTGTCGCCATCATCTGCCTGGCGAGCGAGCTGCTGATTTGGGTCCTGAGCCGGACGCTGGCGGCGGCGAGGCTGGAGTTCTTCTCGACCATTGTGGGCATGGCGGTGCTTTTTGCGTTGAGCACGGCGAGCTGGGTGATGTGGAAGAAGACGGACGACTTCTATCGGAGGTGGCTCAAGACAAGGGTTGGTGACGCCGTGGTGGTTTGCGTTTGCTTGGTTGTTGTTTTTCCATGCTGATTCACTGCAGGTTGACTTTATCAATGCTCACCTCGGGGTGGGATTCTCGGTTCCCATGATTATGCTGGATCAGGATGAGATGCTCAATGGCGGCGAGATTGGGCGCGTCATTTGCTCATTCAGTAAATCAAAACCTGTTCTAATCTCTACATGGCAAATGCTGACTTTTCCCCTCGCTCTAGTTGCAACCAACATCGTCTCTTGGGTGGCAGTATTCCTCCTCTCCGTGGTGGCAATTGGTGGAGTTGCAAAACTAACCTCGCAGTCGCCCTCAAGGAAAGGCTCAATTTGCTCCAAGAAAAGTATTGCCCCGTCGTCAACAGATGACAGGGTCAGCTCAACCGAGTTTGAATATGATGCTGAAATCAAGAGAACAAGATGCAGCCAAGGTGGTTCCTCCTCGTCTAGCCCCCAGGCTTCAGACACTGAGAAACAAACCCCCGCTCCAGATCAAGAGACCTCAAACAATGAGCACCCCGAGCCATGTTATCATGACGAATCTTCTTCCTGGGGCTTTTTTACAAGACACTTCCCAATCCTACTGTCGTTGACGCTCGGCTTCCTCGTCGGCATACCGCTTACGATTACCATGCACGAGGAGCGTTTCTTCGATAGCTTCACACTATGGTTCATCTGGATATCCTCTGTCAGGTCCCAACGGGCTTTCAAGAAATCTCAAATATGCACCTTTTCCACCACCCTGAAGCGAGGCTTGGCGACACTGATGAACCCCGTCCTGCTAACCACCTTGTTCATGACGGGATACACACGAGCAAAGGCTTCTATTCTAGGACCAGGAGGCCTTGCCAGGACTTTGAAAAAGTTTAGTGGAGGCAGTCCTCTCTATGCGCTTTGGACAGCTGCCATCAGCAACACACCTCTACCTAACAACCCTTCAGGCTGGTACGGCGCGGGCGACGCTGCCCTCTCCATACTCGAGTGCGGCATCCTCGTCTGGGGCTTCAAGCTCTCAGAATGCCGTCGCCAGATTTTCAGCACTGCCGGCCTTCTCGCCATCATACTCTGCACCATTGCCGCAGCGGCAAACACGTTTCTCTCCGTTCTCGTCAGCCGTGCCATAGGCCTTCGCGCTTCTGAGGCGCTCAGCTTCGCCGCTCGCAGCACAACTCTGGCCTTAGCGAAGCCTGCCACGGAGGCCATTGGGGGGAACAGTCCCGTGAATGCAATGCTCGTGGTGAGTAACGGCATACTGGGACAGCTCGTATACCCCTTTATCCTAGACAAGCTAGGCGTAAGCAACCAGGACGGCGATATTGTAGTCGCCACAGACACTCAAGACTCAGCGACAGATGAATCGACACCCATACAAACACTTTCCAGTCGCAACCCCATCTCTTCCAGCATTGACAGCAGCTCCGATCCCGTCCCCTTCCCCCTAATTCCCAAGTCATGGCATCAAAATATCTCAACAGCCGATAGCCCCGTCACCGTTGCTGCGGGCATTGCCATTGGCATCAATGGCGCCGCCATGGGCGTGTCCTACCTCTACGAAACAAGAAGCCGTGCAGCGCCATACGCAGCCCTCTCCATGATGGTCTTTGGCGTCATGACGGTGGTATTTACCACTGTGGAGCCATTCAAGAGCACGCTCATCAGCCTGGCGAGCCGGTGACAATGGACGAAAGTCCTTTTTCTAAGGTACGCTACGGGAAAAGGCTTTTTGGGAGAGATCTTGTTCAGGATACCGTTTTACACAGGCTTGAAAGGGGCGAGGGAACAAAATTGAACCATGTCGAAGAGAATAACGGACGGGTTTTAGATGATGTTTGGCATATTTTTTACAGCATGTACCATGGGCGACTGATGGCTATTTTGCACTTTGCACAAAAAAGAAATGTAGATTAGAAACATGGGAGATATGTCAGAATGTGGATATGGGAGGGACTGTTTGAGAGGACAAATACAACAGGATTTGAATTCTGGGAGGGCATTTTGAGGAGGGCCATTTGCTTGGTTGGTAGAAGATTCTTGATAAGGCAGCAAGTTACAATTACGGCTCCATGATGAAGAGCATTTTACCCGTCGTGGTGTCTGTCCCACCACCGTCGAGCCTCGTGATGGGAAACGGCGGCCTACTTTGGTTTGCTTACTGCTGTTTTGCATATCTTTTGTTTTCTTTTTCTTAATTCTTTTTTTGGTGAGACAGAACTGAATATTCTCGCTTTCCGGCGGTTATCATCATCCTTTGTTTGTTCTCTTTTTGGTATATTACACTCCTCGTTTACACACGTGCCATCCAGAGCGGCATCCTTACTCCAATCTGTAGCAACCCGCGTCAGTCAATCGTCCGTCCGAGTTCAGGTGAACGCCGCTCTTGCAAAGCAGATAACAGAAAGACATACCTCTCAATCAAATGCAGCCCACTCGCCGTGGACACGACATCGCTCAGCTCGCCCACCTTGAGCGTAAACGCAACGTCCTCAAACTCCTTCTGCATCTCGCCGCGGCCAAAGTATCCCAGATCACCACGCTTGCGGGCCGAAGAACAATCGGACTCGGTGGGAGCAAGATCGCCCAGCGAGGCAGCGCCAGATCGAATCGTCTTTTCGTGGGCCTTGATGATTTCCATGGCCTCGTCCTTGGTTCGTGTAATCTCAGCCTATAACAGCTCTTTGTCAGCCTCCGTTTCTATAGCTACAGCTTCCTCCCATCGTATCGTCATTTGTCATACCTCGCGCCAACTGCTCGGCCGGCGGCTCTCGCGGTGCTTGACTAGAAGGTGGGCAGCACGAATCTTGCCCTCGGGGACGCCAGGCGCGGCGCCCGATCGCGAGCCGGCGCTGTGGTGGGCGGCCATGTAGTGCTTGAGCTTTTCGCTGTCGGTGCCCGCGGGGGGCTCCCATCGCGAGGTTCTCTCGACCGAGTTGAAGTAGTAGGGCAGGTTCTTGGAGTTGGAGTGGCGAACCTCCCAGTTTGGAGGGAGACCGGTGTCAGCCTGGCGGATGGAGATGGTATTAGCAAGCAGTTCTCTCGTCTCGCACCACAGCTTGAGCATGAGCATGGCAGCTGTAGATGTTGCTGCTGGTGGTGACGGTGATGGTTAGTTGGATGGAGGCATACGCACCATTGTGTCTATTCTGCTTGATTTGAAATGTCGTGAATCGTCGCAAAGGTGAAAAGAGAGAGAGTCTTCTTCTGTTCTCTTCGAGGTGGAGTTGGGACACAAGGACGCTGGGAGATGGAGCTTTTCAATGGGGCGCGGAGCCAATAGGATAGGCGATGAAGATGTGCGGGGGAGAGGCTAAGAGGATTGACCAGGAAGGAAATGGGGGAAGCTATTCTCGCGAGCCTTGCAAAGAAGCGGCTGGACTCGTGTTTGGTTACGAGTTCGCGGGTTTGGGCTTGGAAAAAGAAAGGAAAATATAGGTGTGATGAATTACGTGAATGGTTGCAATGACATCAAATGCAATTTCATGACCAAGTTGACTGTACATTCAATCATTACATTGATGTAACCAAAAAGGCATCGCTGCTAATCAACACTAGTGTGACCCTGATGACGTTGGGCGTCGAGGGGCGGCGCGATTGGCCTGGCAACGTGGGAACATGGAAAGCCTTGCCACCTTGTGTGTCCAGCAGGGCGCTGAGTCAATTGGGGCGCTTTGGAGAAACTGAACGTTAGGGGTGGCGCTTTTAGTGGTTTTGGGTGCTTGAATCATGGACGGCTGGTCAGTTGATGGAGGGGCAGACAAGAGGCTTCTAGGGGGTTCCGCAGCTGTGCCCGTATTTGATGTACTGTACTTTGAGGCTGAGAGTCAGTTGATCACGAAGGGGAGGGTCACGATGCAACGGCGATCGAAGCTTGCGCAGGAGAACGAGATGGATAATTTGACTTATGGGGGAGGAGGCGTCACATCGTTGCGTATGTACCTGTATAGAGAGCAGTGCGTAGATGTGTCGTGAGTTGGATCGGGTACCTAGTTCATATATGTAGGCGCATGCATGCATCATTATATCACCTCAGTTACCGTAGGAGTGAACAAGAGTAGAAGTGAATAAGAGAGCCCTTACAAACGACTAATCATTGCTGTATTCATCATGTACAGACAGACCCAACCGTCGTCATCTCCTCTGGAGCAGTCATGGGATACTTGATCGCAGATTGTCCCTCTCAGACAGTAAGCATGGATGCGCAATCGGGGCCCCCAAGCGCGACTCGAGATCCGCAATAAGCGACCGATGCCAGGCCACGGGTCAAGCCGCAGTCCAATAGAACTACTAAACTACTACGGCATTAGGATTCTGACATTGAGCTGCACTGTTTGATTACACGGAGACTTGACGGAGGGCTCGGCCACCGAAAGCCGTTCAAAATTTTAATCTTTTCCGTCCTCCGCGTCTCCAACGATAGCTTGCTCAGTGGGCGGGGCACAATGTAATGTAATGCAGTTTCAGACGATGCATGTACTAAGGTATACGTTGCTGTCATCTTGTCGAACACAGTAGAGTTGCACGACTTCGTCTTGACTATGTAGATAGAAGCAGCCCGAGCAGACGAGGGGATTGCGCCGATGTGAATGTAGATAGACGCGAGCACATCTACAAGCGGAACGAGGATGAGGCCCGAATGTCACCGAATCAGCCTGGGCCTGGCGCCAAGGTGCGCAACATGTACGAGTATGTAGGTGAGATGCAGGCAAGGATATGATGACATTGGTGCTACATGTCCGTCTCCATTATCTCTTCCAAGCGCCAGACTATGTGCATGTAATATCTCCTACATACCCACACAAACCTGTCACCTACCTAACCTGGGCTTAACAAGTATGGATCTGTAAGTCAGGTTACTAGTACCAGCGTTCAAGCGCGGAAGGCCATCGGAACCATTCATGGCTGGGATGCTTCCCGAAGCCGAGTACGTCGGGTCTCATATACGAAGCCACGGGCATGATGCGGGCTTGCTGCGGCCGTCGCCCGGTGGTGGTGTGATGAGGATCGCAGGTTATCGGGCGCGTCCAGGGTAGATCAGGGCAGGAGAATGGCGGCCATTCGGCCATTCGGGATATCTTCTGGTAACACAACGCTGGACGGGTAGCTGATGAGCTTTGGGGATTCAAATATTGTGATGAAATTTGGGATTGAAATGCTAAATGATGCTGATTTATTGGATATCGTACCGTAAATCCTGTGCATACTTGTTTACTATATCTCTTCTATACACTTGGGTGCATATGCAAGCGCTTTGTGGCAAGCCTCGTCAATAGCACCATACAGGTAGGTGAGTACATGCAGTTATCACTGCCCCAGCTCAAACGGCTTACCGACTTCCCGGCATTGTCCAGGATATTGCAGAAAACCCCCGCTGGCAAGGGACTTATTGCCTCTGAATAACAGAAATCCATTGGTGGAGAGAGATATATATGACGAGCAAGTATCCCGTAACGCTGCGTGTGTCCTGGACGGGTGATGCTCGACTACACGTGCAGCCAAAAAAGCACATCACATGCCAGCCATCGATCGATGCGTGTGTCCTCTCAGCATCCAAACTGCGAATAATATTTCTCTCTCAGCCCAGCTGCATGAAGACTCAACTCAACCCAACTCAAGAGTCAAACCAACCGGAACAACCCAGAACCTAATCTTTCGAGGCTGGAGGCTTGACTCACCAGCCGGCGTCAAACGCTTTGTGGCTGCCTGGCTCCCGATCTGCAAGGTACACGCACGTACAGCCTGCTAAAAAAGCTTCAGGTTGCGCACAGCACAGCCAGCGGGGTCGTCTGATTGGAACATTGGAACTCAACTGCTGCACTGGGCTTTTGAAACTTTTGCCGCGCTCTCAGTGACTCGGATCGGTACAGAGTACATATACACAGCTGCTGATTCCGTACTCGCCGGTGCTGCAGGTAAATAGTACTGCCCCCCCTTCTGATCAGGCCATTGTAGCCTTCTCTTATACTCTGCACAGAACCGACGCCCGGTCGTGCTGCCACTTTCTCCCAGACAACACGCACAAAACCAGCACCGCAGCCGCGCACTCTTCTGCTGAATCTCTTCCTCTCTCCTACAACTACAGAAAAACAAAATCAACAAAAAAAAGCAACCTTGAGACTATTCACAAGCCGAGCATCAGCTACTCAGCAGCCTCGCTCAGCATCTTTGCCTCTTTTCTTACTTTGCATCTTGCAGAGCATCCCTTCGAGACAAGCACCGCATCTCTCTTCTGCTGAGGCCTCAACTGCACTGGGCTGCCTGTCTATCTGCACTCAAAAGCCCGGCACAAGCACAAGCCCAGCTCAGCAGAGCAGCACAGCACAGCGGAGGCAACCCAATCGCTGCTAGTGCTGCCACGCTACCACCACATACCCACTGCCAGGCGGCAAATCACCCCCCTGGACACTTTTTTCCCATCATTTGCTGCACCCAAGCCATCTCAGCACTTGATCTCAACCTTGCTCTTCCAAACCTTTTTTTCTTCTACTTTCGACAACGACAGCCATCGACGTCGACATCGAACCCAGGAGCATCGCCATCTCCCTTCTTCACATCATCATCATCTTCTTCTTCTTACACACTCGCAAAAATGGCAACTCCTCAGTCCACCACTTCGGACGATCTCTCCGGCCCCAAGAAGCTCGAGCAAATCACGTTCCGCTTCTGCTCCGAATGCTCCAACATGCTCTACCCCAAGGAAGATGAAGACGCGCACAAGCTGCAGTTCACCTGCCGCACCTGCCAGTACACCGAGGACGCCCAGTCGACGTGCGTCTTCCGCAACGTGCTCAACAACTCGTCCGGCGAGACGGCCGGTGTCACTCAGGACGTCGGCTCTGATCCCACGGTTAGTACTAGTGATTTCGTGCCAGTCCTGTGCCTTTTCTGCGAACACGTCATCTCCTGCAACACCTGTGGAGTTCCCGCCAACGGCCATCTCGACGCTTGGCCTTCCGCGAGCGAGACCGAGGACGACGACGATTGCCGACCGGGCAGCGCAGGGACCATGGGCATGGCTCAGTTTAACCTGTTCATTCCCGACGACCCCTTTGAGGAATACGACGAAGAGATGATGGAAGACGTCGAATTCAGCAGCAGCGACGGCTCTACCGAAACCGAGTCCCTGCATTCTTTCAGAGACGAAGTTGGCCATTGCAATGATGGCGCGATCCTTGTTAACCTTTGATCGGTGACCCTTTGGATGCCCGCATCGACTTACGACGGCTTGCGGCTGTGCGGAAGCCTTGTCTTTCCCGCCAATGTTTACAATGACGATCGATACCCTGTATTACTACTATACTGCTCTGGTGTTTGGCCCCGTCCCGCCATCTTGGTGTTTTTATCGTACTGATGGGGACCTGAGCTGTGATCATGGACGGGGTCCTGTTGTGGATTTTCAGTTCTGCTTCCTTTATATGTGTTTGCATATCTGATATGGCAGCTGGCTGACTGTGCGTTTCTTTTCGCTTTTTCTCAACTACAGCTCCCACGATCCAACAAGGCGTGCCCGAGATGCAGTCATCAAGAAGCCGTCTTCTTTCAGTCACAAGAACGCAGTGCTGATACTGGCATGGTGAGCGCCTGTCCCCTGGGGTTCTGGGTTGGATTTTTTGGTTAACCTGGTTTGCCGCAATGTAGAAATTGTTTTACGTTTGTTGCGAGTGTGGTCACATTTTCGATTAAACGCCTTTACGACTGGTTCGTGGTTCAAGGCTCACTCACAGAAGTCTGAAAACATTTGAGCATCAGACGTACCTAGTTAGAGCTTTGCTCTTGTTTCTCACTCTTTTTTTCTGTCTTGTTACAGTTGGCGTCGGGGATGGAAAATGCTACGGAAAGTGGCACATCTAGAGTCTACCATAATTGCGTATCACCGAAACCTGGAAAAGACGGATGACGGCGTTGGGGGAGCATATTTAGAGGGGTGTTTTTTATTTACTAGGCCGGTGTTGTATTACCACACTGAGCTTGAATTCAGTCACTTCATTTGCCAAAGAGTGTCGTGTTGTTGTTTTGTGTTCTTTTCAAGTCTCTGTGCAATGTTCCTGTCATACACATTGCCATGATTTCAAAGTCTATGCATTATTCATGCCATACAGATTGTCATGTCAGAGGCACTTTCATACCTAGATAGTCTTGCAAATCAAATTCGTTGTACACAAAAAAAGGATTGTTTCTTCTTGATCAAATGTCTCATTTCGTAAACGCCATGTAAAGTAAATGCCACCAGAGAGTGTTTTCGTAATCGTACATGATCCCAACTCGTACATAGAGACGACACCTTGTTGCCCCTCCTGCATTTTTGATGTCTATCCAGCTGCCTCTATTCCTCCCTCCCTCCCTCCCTCTCTCTCTCTCTTGCCTTCTCTCTCCCTCTCTCCCGCGACCTCTTATTCCCTTATGCCTGCATGGGTGCCATGGACAGAATCTTGCTCCACTTCTTGCGCTTCAGCTCAGCGCCCACGGCGCCATTGATTCGCGTGCCGACGGGGTCGCCCGACTTGTTGAGCAGGACGCAGGCGTTGTCGTCGAAGCGCACGACGGTGCCGTCGCGGCGCTGCGTGGGGTACCTGGTGCGGACGACGACGGCGTGGCGGATGTCGCCGCGCTTGACCTTTGCGGCGGCGGAGATGCCGGCCATGCCGGAGGAGGAGGAGCCGCGCTGTTCTTGGACGACGACGACGATGCGGTCACCTGAGGGTTTTCGGGGGGGGGTTGGTTAGAATTTGGGTGTACTCGAGAGAATTGGGGATTGTCGTAGGTGTTTTTGTTTGAGAGGGTGTAGTGGTACCTATTCTAGCGTGTCGCTTCTGGCCGACGACGAGGGCGCATTCGACAAGGGCAGCGCCAGAGTTGTCGATGCAGTTGAGCATCGTCTGTGTGATGAAGGCAGGTGATTAGCATAGCTGTTGCTGTGGCGGGAGAGGAAGAGGGGGAGCGATCAATGAGGCTGCTCACCTTTAATTGAATCATTGTGACTGTAGACAAGAAACAACAACAGCAGCAGCAGCAACTATGCAAAGCTCATCCAATCAATCGTCAGTCTCCTCCCAACTGAAGGCATCGCCAAAAACCCACCTCTGGCGTTGAGACTTTTCGATGTCACGTGCTTCCCGGAACCAGCTCGTCGGTGACTTTTTAGTGCACTCCGTCCGCCATCCCCAGTGGCTGGCTAATCCTCGGCTCTTCCCGGGGGGCTGAATCTGGATCAACACACACCTCACACTTGGCAAATCCCTGTCTTTCTCCAAGCTCGCTGAAAAGGGCAAAAAACGGGAAAAACTGGAGCTTCAAAGGCTTCTCCATCCGTCGCCCGGACAGCCAAATTGGCATGGGGGGGCGGCCGGAGCTGGCAAATTCTTGCTGCTCGTTGGCTGCTGGCAGCGCCTGTTCCCTGCTAGAGCTTAGTGCTAAGAATATCCATTTCTAGTGCGGTGACCAGCCCATCGATTGCATGGTAGCTGCGGTTTCCTGCAAGGCGCCCCTTTCACTTTCACCTCCAGTCTTTCTCACTTGCAATGTTTTCTGGGCCTTGCATGGCATGAGACTTTTCCGAGGCACTGCCAACAGCCTCACTTTTTCTTCTTCTTCTTCTTCTTCCTTCTTCTTGCTTTTCCCTTCTCTTCCGGATTTTGCGCCGCTATTTGCTTCATCAATCTTCCCGTCCTTTCCGGCTGCTTCATTTCCCTTTTGACTTTGGATCTCGCTATTACATGGCTGGATAGGGTAGCTTGAAAGTGATGACGTCGAGACGCTTCAGGTGACAAGAACAGAGCTTCTTTTCTTTTCTCGACGCCGCAACTCACTCGTGTGCGCCTCGGACTGTGCTTCTGATCGCCGGACCGACCGCGGTTTGCGAGATTTGCGACGCTCACGGAGCCTTGCTGCGTGTTTCATCCGTGACGGCAGCCGGCGCAGCGCTGACGGGGTGGAAATTAGAGTTATGAGGGAATCTTGAGCTCTCTCTGTCCGCTCCTTGCAAAAAAACAACATCTTGTTGGCGCCAGCAAAAACCCCTCATTCTCTCTCCCTCTCGCCCTCTGCGATTCTTGCTCGTGTGGATTTACGGGTTCGCATCCGGTGATATTTTCCTGCAGACAAATAATCCCCCGTCTAGACAATGCCGCCGCCAAAGGCTGCCGGGGCAACGGCCAAGAAGCAGCGCTTGACCCTCTCCCAGCTGGCTGCCTACGACGACATTCTGACGGATGCGCTCGTCGACCATGTGAGTTTGAGTGCGCAATGCAAGTAAAAGACGAGCATCTAATTTGATTTGCGCCAGGCTTTTTATTGGGCCACTGTTCCCAAGAATCGCTCGTCTTACCATCCATCACGGGGGATCCGAGAAGGTGAGGTGGCCAAAATCATCCAGGAAGATGTCGTCGTAAACAAGGACCTTGAGGCCGCCGAAAAGCGGCTGTTGACGTCCGTGGACGGCCTCAAGAGGTATGTCAATGGCCTGAAGCTGGACAAGGAAAAGGCCGATTTTGTACAACATCTGCGACGATATCTTCGCATTTACATGCCTGACTGCCCTTGGGAAGTCAGCACCACCAACCGATACACCATTGTGACGCACGAAGCGTGTGTCATTGCCAGGCGATACATTAAGCGCAATGAGACAATCAAGTACCTTTCCGGCATACAAATCAACATCACCCCCGAGGAGGAAACAGAAATCACGGTCCGCAAAAAGGACTTTAGCATTGTGGTCAGCTCCAGGAAGAAGTGCACCAGCTTGTTCATGGGACCGGCGCGATTCGCCAACCACGATTGCCGCGCAAACGCCAAGCTCATGACTACCAGTCAGTCCACCATTGAGATTGTGGCCTCTCGACCCATTGAAGTCGGCGAGGAGATTACAGTCACCTACAGCGATTGCTATTTTGGGGAAGACAACTGCGAGTGTTTGTGTCGAACGTGCGAAAAGGAGCTGAGGAATGGATGGGCAACCGAAGGCGAAGCGGTCAACGTAAAAATCAGCGTCGAAAACGATGAACGGAAAGAGACATACTCTCTGCGCAGACGGCGGAGAGATGACAGCATTGGCGGCTCCTCGCGCACTTCCTCGGTGACTCCCGACATGCGGCCACGCATTTACAAGACGAAGCCAAAGGTGAAGAAACAGGATGCTCAGGAAACATCTTCGATTCCGACACCCGCGCCAGAAGCAACCCCGCGAGGTCGAAAACGAGCCATGGACGCAATGGCAACTCCACCAATCACACCAGCCAAGAAGCTCAAGCTCTTGTCCGAATCATCAAACGCTTCGTCAAATCTACTCTCTATCCCTAGCGCGGCTTCGAGCGTTGATGACTCGTCGAGCACCAGGAGCGTAACCCCCAGCCATGCAGATGCCCCGGAGACGGATACCGCGTCGCCCGAAAAGGAGAGCCCGCAGCCAGAGGCACAGACGCCGCCAAGATTCTCAGCAGAGCGTTTAGACACATCAAAGAATGAGCAGCGGCACGGTTATAAAGACGTCACCAGCATCACGGTGGAGCCTGTTTCTCCTCGGAGCATGGGAAGCCGTGCATCTCCCGACATGGTGCCTGTAGAGGCTCCTGTTCAGCCGATCCCAAAGCCGCGGCAGCTGATAACCATGTCTATTTCTTCCATTCTCAATGATCCATCATCCACCGATGATTCCGCCGAAGCATACTACCCTTTTGTGGCGAATGTGCGAGTGGCTAGACAGCCCGTGGTTGAGTCAAAGTTTGAACTCATATCTGAACCAGAAGATGAGCAGCCGGAACGAGAGCAGCCAGAAATAAAAATCGAGGCGGAAATTCACGTCAAGACGCAGCTAAACGTAGAAATTGAAGCGGAGGCTGAGGCTGAATCAACAATAGAGGCAGCGACAACGAGTACAGACAAGCCGAAACGCCGCAAACGACAGGCTGCAATTCCCAAACAATCGACACCACCTCCCGCTCGAGTACGCAAGCCGGGCGACTATGTGCTCACGCCGTTGCTCCTCTCGGAGCCCGACATGGCATGGATTCAGTGCACAAACTGCAGCGACTACTTTGTTCAGCAGAATGCTTACTTTACTCGGTCTTGTTGCCCTAGGTGCGAGCGGCACTCGAAGTTATACGGCTATGCATGGCCCAAGACGGATAAGACGGGGCCTTCAGACAAAGAAGAGCGAATCCTCGATCACAGGATGATCCATCGATTCCTGGATTCCAACGACGAGCGGAGGGCAAGAGGTCGAAAACCTTTGAGCGAGAGCAGAGATGATACACAGGAGGCGGATGACGATCGGGGCAGGGCGACCAAGAGAGGGCCTAATAGAGCAGGTAACACCAATCGGAAAGACGAAGATTCGGGAGTTCGAAGGAGTGGCCGCGCGAGGCGCGTGAGCAGCAGGCTCACCGAGGAATGATGTATTTTTGTATGATTTGTAACGTTATACCATGGATGGGGCAGGGCAGCAGACCTTTTTTTCATCTTGCTTCCCTTGCTCATTTGCTTTTTTCTATTGCTAGGTGATGGGTGGGTGGGTGGAACAGGACAGGCGCGTTAGCTACGGATCGATTAGGCGCAGTGTTGGAACAAGTATTGATAGGTAGTCTAGATGATAATTACCGTGGATGTGTCCACCAACTGTTTTTATCTGATGAACAGGTACCTATTGATCTCTTGCAGATGGAGTGCTGGCAGCTGGTATTGGAAAACCATGAATAATGAATGCTTGACGCCACCTTTTACTGTGTAAGTTCCGAGACAGCATGGCAGCAGACGAGATGCTCAGGAACAAGCAACAGCCGTGATTCGCTGGAACGGCAGTTTGGAGTTTGACACAAGGTTGAGGGGAACGGGCGAGCAATCATGTGGCCCTCCAATGATCGTCCCTTGGAGGTTGTCATGACCAGTCACAGAGCAAGGATCACCAATGATGGGCTCCATACCTGAAGTTGACGCAAGTTGCTGCTAAAGGCGGTAGTCCCCTGTGGCTTGTCTCACTTGTGTCATCCGCCATTTTTGATTTGCCTCCCGTCAACTACACGCCGCATTTTCCATCTTTCTTCTTTCTCTTCCATTCCAGGACGCTTACTAGATGGGACATATAGTCTCTTCATGAGCCATTTTTTTTTTCTTATTGATACGCTGTATTGAGAATTAATTGACGTTTCAGTTTCGTTGGCCCGGACATTCCGACGCTTTGAACTTGGAGAAGAGGGAGTGCACGCGACGGCATTGCGACGATGATATCGCGACATTTCATCTGTGTTTTATGTAAGTGAAGTGGATGCTCAATGCATGTACTCATTTCATTGGTGATTTATTTTCTCTATTACAACTTTCTTTTGGGGGAATTGCAGGGAGTCCAAGAGCTGATATCTATCTGTTCATTAGTCGCCCTTGGTGCAGTGGCCGTTCCCTCGACGTCTCAGAAGGTCCTCGTGGGCGACTGCTCTCAGCATGGGCTTCTGTGGGATTGCGGCGCAAACGGGCTGGTCTGGACAAAGGGAGCGGTGCGGATGAATCACATGCAGGTCGTCGGGTCGCACAACAGCTATCACGTCGAAGCACCCAAGGCGGAGCGCGATCTCCAGACTGCATGGACGTCTGCGGCTACGGATCTGCAGTATTCGCATGCGGCTTTGGATGTGCAGCTGGAGTATCTCCATGTGAGGAATTTAGAGTGAGGCTCTCTCTCCATGAATAAGGTACGATGATGTGAGAAGGGAGAGGATTGTTAACGGGTTCACAGGCTGGATTTGCTCGCGGATCCTGAGGGTGGCATGTATAGTGATCCGCTGCTTAGGAGGTTCGCTAGGTTGGGCCCGCTGGATGATCCAAAGCTTAAGAAGAAGGGGACAAAGGTGCTGCATATACCGGATGTAGACTACCACACTACTTGCTCGACGCTGGTTTCCTGTCTGCGCGTTATCAAGACGTGGATGGATGCGCACCCGGATAGCGTGCCTCTCCCCATCATGATGGAACTTAAGACGGCTGAGGAGCTGGGAGAAAGGCTCGGCGGCGCCAAGGTGGTACCGTGGGACACTGATCTTTTGAATCTCGTGGATGAGGAGATTCGGTCCGTCTTTGACAAGTCGCAGCTCATCACCCCGGATGATGTACGCAGAGACGGCCTGACGCTGGAGGAATCCATTTTGAAGTACGGTTGGCCGGACTTGGACAGCGCAAGAGGAAGAATCTTTTTCCTTATGGATAATGGGCCGGTTCATGATGTGCGGGATGCGTACATTGAGGGGCGGCCGAATCTGGAGGGGAGGGTGCTGTTTACGAATAGTGCGCCTGGACAAGGCGACTGTGCGTTCCAAAGGGTGAGTCTGATGATGATGTTTTGTTTAGGGAAGCGTGTGTAAGCTGACGAGGGGCTGTGATGATGTATACGAGTAGCTTAACGATCCTTTGACCGACGCAGATGTCGAGTTCATCCAGGCCCAAGTCCACGCAAACTACTGGGTCCGCACCCGCGCCGACGAGCCCCTTAGAACTGTTTTCAAAGAAAAATGCGATATTTCTCGGCGAGACGCGGCGCTTCGGTCAGGGGCGCACATTGTGTCGACGGACTTTGCGGGCTATGAGCTGAGTTCGCGGTGGGGATGCGATTACGCAGTGAGGTTGCCTGGGGGGAAGGGGGCGAGGTGTAATCCGGTGATTAGGGGGGGATGTGAGGGGGGGTTGGAGCCGGATGAGTATACGGAGAATTAAGGGGTTTGGTGTTTTATGATTTGGAATGGATTATGTTTGTGTTTTTCGATGAGGGTGAGGAAGATGATGTTAGACTGGGCTGGGTAAGTGGCGGCTTTGATGGGGATATTGTATTTTGCTGAAAGATACATTGTGAAATTATGTGAGATAATTTTCGAGCCGTGAAACAATGGACGGCGGAATAAAGCCAGTCGTGGATGATTGTCTCTTTACGGCGTAAGACTCAAGTTTCGGAAACTAGTGTGGCTTTATACAAGGGGTTGAAGTTGTCATTCTCTCAGATCTATATGTAGACGTTTTAAATTTCCTGGCAAATCCGATAATATTGTATCATAACAAAAGAGAACTGTTTACCGGACGGGAAGGACAACGAACGTTGAGGAAATTAACAGTATCAGTGAGTGGACTTGCTAGCCGAGTGCCTCGTACACCTTCCATCATATTTCAGGTGATCTGTCATATTGATCATGCAATTGAAGATGGCGTCAACTGAAGATGACCTATTTGATAGGCTACGATGGAACCTGATAGAGGGACTTTGTTTTGAAGGAGATGATGGTCGTTGGTAATCGTATGAAATCGAAGGTTGAGAGCCAGATAGAGCATATCCGGCTATCAGAATGATGGCTCTGTGTTTAACCGTTCTCGTCCGATTGACGAGCTGGACACACTTTTCTATAGCTGGAAGTGGCTCTACATTCATAATAAGTATATACCTGTATGAATGCAAGGCATTTCTTCTTATGGGATGTTGAGTGAATCACTGCGCTGGTAGATTTGAGATTTAGATGCGTGTTGAGATGTCTTGCGCTGGGCTATTGCCAATGCTATATGAGTTAGAAAAGTTTGTCACTAGTCAACAACAAAGCGTCATTGGTCTAGGGGTTAGGATTCAACTCTTCCATTAACACGAAAAGTTGAGGCCCGGATTCGAGTTCCGGATGACGCATTGACTCTTCACCGAGTCAAATTTGTTTTTGGCATTTCTTTTTGCGCTATAATTCGAGTGAAACAACTAATTTGAAGATTTCTTTTCATTTCCCCCCTCATTTTCGCTGTTATTTTGGTTGCCATATCATAATTGAACATTGGCAGCTGTTGAGCACTGATTGCCGTATCGACACGGAGCGCTCCGTGGCTACGGAGTGCTCCGTTTATAGAGGGATTGCGGGGTGAAGTGGGAGCTCGCAAAGACAAAACGTTGCTTCAAATTTACCGAGGCGAATTCTTGTTGTCCTTATTGATGGAAATGATTGACTGTTTTAGAGATAACGCATGTCCAAACAAATTGAACTCGTCATTGTCTGTCTGTCTGTTTGTTGGGAACATTCATCTCCGCGCGGAGCCCGAGATCGCTGTCGGAGCCCCGCCATCTTGACTAACATCATGTCCACTTGCACTGGCAATGAAATGAACTGAACATCTACTTATTCATCACTTTTCTCTTCGTGTTTCAGTATACCATTGACATTCAGCTTCAATTAAATCACATGCAACATGGCTGAAGCGGAGAGTGCACAAAAAATTCATGTCGCAGCTGAAGAGGCCCGGCGCCTCGTCAAAGACATTCTTCAAGGCAACGGCGTGTCCCCTGACAATGCGGCGATAGTAGCACGTTGTCTCATTGCTGCTGATCTACGAGGCGTTGATACACACGGCATGAACCGAATCCCTTCATATATGGAGCGGATTCGACAGGGTGTCCTGGATGCCGGAGCACAGCCAGAGCTGAAGCAAGTGACGCCCGTCGTGGCCCAAGTCGATGGACGCAATGGCTTTGGCTTTGTAGCTGCTCACATGGGCATGGCGGCGGCCATTGAGGCGGCAAAAGTCTACGGCATTGGCTTAGCTAGCGTCAAGCACTCAAATCACTTTGGCATGAGTGCGTGGGTGGTGCAGCAGGCGTTGGACGCCGACATGATGAGCCTCGTCTTTACAAACTCGAGCCCCGCGCTGCCTGCGTGGGGCGGGCGGGAGAAGCTCATGGGCGTGTCGCCGATTGCGTGCGGTGCGCCAGGAAAGGGAGACATGGAGAATTTCATCTTGGACATGGCGCCGTCAGTGGCGGCACGGGGCAAGATTTACAAGGCAAAGAGGAGAGGCGAGAAGATCCCGCTGGATTGGGCGTTGGATGCGGAGGGCAGGCCGACGGACGACCCGGAGGCGGCGCTGGGCGGCGTGATGCTGCCGATGGGCGGGCCGAAGGGGTCGGCGCTGGCCATCATGATGGATGTCTTTTCGGGAGTATTGTCTGGCTCTGCATTTGCGGGACATGTGACGAATCCGTATGACCCTTCGAAGCCGGCGGACGTGGGACACTTTCTTGTTGCTGTGAAGCCGGACCTGTTTATGGACTTGGATGAGTTCCGGGGCAGGATGGAGTATTTGTATGGACGGGTGGTGGGATCGCAGAAGGCGGCGGGGGTGGAGAGGATTTATTTCCCGGGGGAGATTGAACAGTTGACGCAGAGGGAGAGGGAGAAGACGGGGATTCCGTTGGTGAGGGCTGAGATTGATGCGTTGAATGAGGAGGCGAGGAAGGTTGGGGCTGAGGGGTTGGCTGTGGAATGATGGGACGTATTGGAGATGTGAATGTGAAGCTGAGATTTTTTTGTTTACTTGGTACAAAAGGTATAATAATGAGATTGTATTGAATGGTATAGGATAAATAAGAATTTGGATTAGTTGATAGACATGTAACTATATCGTGAACTGGTGCCTCATGCAAGATAATATGGATTGCATGTACGGACAAATGACTCGAGCAGCCGTCTTCCCCGCATTACTGCACTTCTTTTTTTTTTTTTTTTTTTTTAAATCTTATTCTCCAACAGCCAGGTATAAACAGTATTATGGAACCTGCCTCTAGATAATGAAGCCGAGATGTATAAAATCACTGACACTCCCACTCGTTACTCGAAACTATCTCTAAACATTGGTCATCGTAGATAAGATGTGTAAGCGCTACAAGTGGTATTACACAACGCCGTCTAGCTATCTCCAAGCTAAATTGCATCGCGATCTTAGCTCCAGTTCTCCCCGTCCTTATCAGCAAATCACAGGCGGGGCAAACGCTTATTAGTTCTTTGTTTGGTGATGCAACGCTGATATCGAAACTTGATGTCGTGCCGTGTGCAGCAATCGCGGGTATTAATAAACGCAGCCCTAAGATGGAGGAGAGGGGTTGCTCCTACGGATAAAATCAAAGGGCAAAAATAAACAGCTGCTATTCTTTTTCATGACAATTGCTGGTTCGAGAGGTCGCAAGGCGATGATTCCGCCTCGTCAACGATGCCCCTCCAGTTCCCCTCTATCAGACTTCCGCCCAAGCCCAAGTTTCTTCATGGCATCCCCTCCAACAGCATCCGCATAATTTCCATTCTCATCACAGTCAATGTCCTCGTATGGATCATCGTCGCCATCGTCCTCCATTTCCATCCGGCTCTCATCTCGCCTGCTGCGCTTTCATACGCCCTGGGCCTTCGCCATGCTCTCGATGCAGATCACATCGCGGCCATTGACCTCATGACGAGGCGGCTCATTGCGTCAGGACAGCGACCAGCCACCGTAGGGACATTTTTCTCGCTTGGCCACAGCACTATTGTGATAATTACGTGTATCGTCGTGGCGGCGACGAGCGGTGCATTGAGAGAGCGCTTTGACGGCTTTCAACGGGTGGGAAACATCATTGGCACGAGCGTCAGTGCAGCAGTGCTCATCATTTTGTGCTTGGGGAACGGATGGGTGCTTTATAAGCTGGTCAAGAGACTGAAAGAGGTTCTTGCGCAGCGGAGGACTGGCGATGGCGATGCCTTGGACGAGGAAGACGCTGCTGCGGCGCAGGCGAATAACCAGCTTCAGCTCGAGGGAGGCGGCTTCATGACACGACTTCTGAAAGTCTTCCTCAAGACGATTGATCGGCCGTGGAAGATGTATCCGCTGGGCGTGGTTTTTGGGCTCGGGTTTGACACGAGCTCAGAGATTGCTGTTTTGGGAATTGCGAGCATCCAGGCTGTGCAGGGGACGAGCATCTGGCTGATTCTCATTTTCCCAATTCTGTTTACATGTGAGTTAACTTGACGAGAGTAATGTCCTTTCTGGATTCTAACATGTGTCTCTTTTAGCTGGCATGTGTCTTGTGGACAGCACTGACGGGGCGTTGATGATGGCGCTCTACACGTCCAAGGCCTTTTCGCGAGACGTTGTTGCCATTTTGTATTACTCCATCGTACTCACTGGCATCACCGTTGTTGTTTCTGCTTTCATCGGCATCATCCAAGTCCTGTCGCTGGCGCAGAACGTGGCAAACCCGACGGGCCGCTTCTGGGACGGCGTCTCGGCTGTTGGAGACCACTTTGATATTATTGGCGGGAGCATATGTGGACTTTTTGTAATTGTTGGGATTGGATCTGTTTTGGTCTACGGGCCATGGAGGAGGCGTGTGGAGAGGAGGAATCGGGAGGTGTTTGTTGTGGAAGCGGACGAGGACGATGTTGAGGCTGAGAGGGAGGAGGCGTTGCCGAGAGCTTTGGAGGAGCAGGCTCCGAATCCAAAGACGGCGATTACACGAGTTGCGGAATATCAGGAATAATGAACATTACGTTGCCATTTTTAAGATCTGAACATTGGAAACGAAGCGTATGTTTGAAGCTTGTATACGTGTATTCTTCTTTGATGGCTTACAAGGGCCATTGATTGTACAGTACCTGTAGTGCTGGGTCTCAGCTCGTCATGATATAAATATTTAGTGAAAGAAGGAACTATTTCTCAACTTCCCAAGTAATATCACCAATATGAGACTTGAACATCGGATATGCATGTAATACATGCTCAGAGGCGTATGTACGTGCATGTGCCTACGATGACTTACATGCAATACCAGGTAGTGCCTACGTAGTTTATGAGCCAACTGTGGAACGGAGGGGATCTCTCTGCTACTCATAATTGAGGCTCTTTTCGTGAGCATATTTGCCAACTTCTGAGCTCGAACAATAATTCCTCATATGGCGCCTGTCGCATATATACGGCATTGACTCATTCTCATGGTCATGCTGGCAACTCTCACAACTACAGCAACCCATATCAACCAAGTCCTAGACTACTGTGCTTGTTAGCGCCAATAAGACGCCCGGCACTAAAGCTTCACGGTCAAGCAACCTCTAGGCAACAAACCACATGAGCAGGTAGCATCAAAAATGTCGCAATATCAAGACCAATTAATTACAGCATAGTGCAATATAGCCGCCAATCTGTCATCAAATTGCCATTGGACGAGAAGAATGAATCATTCAATGAGGCCCGTCTTCGGAGGCAGCCTGATAAGAGAAAACCTTATCGCCATGCAGGGGTTCTGGAAGGCCCTCCAGAAGGGAACCAACGCCCGCCACGGCCACTGTAAGGCGCCACCGCCCGCCTTAGTAATTGGTTGATTCGCTACGGGTAATTTCAGCACAGCAATTTTAGGGGTCCTGATTCTGCCTGCTTGCGCCCTACAGCTTTTTACTTGCCCTTTATGATACTCGCTTCGCTTCTTCATCACCCCAGCTATTCAGATTCAGCCTCGCCTCTGACGCGCATCATCACAGATTCAGCCTCCCCCAGACTCGGCTGCCTGTTGCCCTATTTCTGGATACGATCAATCCAGCAGGTGATTCACCCGCCTCGATTTCCGGCTGAGGAGATATTCGGCAATGGCGATTAGCAGCCACGTGTTTCTGCAGCTGCGCACTGTCTCGTCGGCACTGGATGGTGGGGAATCGAGCTTGTGGCGGCTGTCAGGGTCCTTCAGCCGTTCCCCAGAAGTTGAAGCGACGCTTGTCGGCTCTCGATGCTCAGAGGCTCTGCTCCAGTTCTGGTCCAGAGCCTGGGTACCGGCTACTTGGGGGCTACCTGGTACTGTGTGCGGCCTCTTGACGGACGAGCACCGCGTTTCGTTTTTGCGCCTCTAGGCTGTCGGTGTGGCCGCCATTTTGCGATTTCGTCCTCCTTGGCGGTCAAGCCAGACATTCTCTCGGGTTCTGAGTGGTGGCGTCTCGGTTGTGCTGAGGTTCCCTCGCAGCACCAGCGCTCCTTCATCGGGCACTATTGACTCTTGTGAATGCCAACCTAAAAACCCCGAGTTTCGGGTATCAAACGGGATGGATTGTGATTGCGCTTAAGCGCCGCGAGTTGACGCAGACACACTTCCTTCGGGGCATTCGGTATCGGACAGCGTTTCGGAGAGCGTCAATTGCACTGTCGATCACCTTGAAAGAGAAGGTATCTGTCTTACTGGCACCCTTGGCACCCTCCATACTGTATACGAGAGAGGAAAGAATGAATGGAATAGGAAGGGGATGGGAAGCACAGTACTCTGGCGCTTGCGAGGGAGCGAGACCGTTCTTCGTTTGTTCGTACAGTCCAAGCGATACTATTGAGCCCCCCGGCGTCGGAAGTGGCAAATGTTGATCTTATGCGGGCTCTGGTAACAGCCAAGCGTCCGCAACTCCCAGTCACATTATCCCTCTTTTGTCGGATCAGCCTGTAAAACGAGCCGCGATATGCAAGGAGCCCAGACTACCCTTATGCACTGCGCTGTTTGGGCTCGTTTTGGTGGTCAGCATAAGACGTGATCACGGCAGTGATAGGCCAATATTTTCCTCTCGACGTCCGCTACTAACCTCCTCACCTTGATCTACTGCCCAATGCGATTCTCTTTGTGAATCCGCGGCGATTCAACCATGGCCCGGTCCAGGCAACCAGCTGAGTCGTCGTGATGGTGTTTGGACCCTGAAAAACGAAAATCCCTTTGAGACATCCATCTCATCCCGCTAGACAGTTGGCGGCTGTGGTCGTGTGGGACCCTGCGGTCAGGGGGAACGTCGGACCCCACGGATTCAAACAACGATTCAGTGGATACGCTTGTTGTAAGACCCTTCAAAGCAAAAGGTCGTTGCGGATAAGAGAATTGCACATCATTCTGCGGATTTATCAGCCAAGGAGGCTTTGTCTTGGGAAGAAACGGCGTGATTACATACATGGTTCCCACGCCACCCACGGTGACAAGACACAGTACACAAAGCACTTATACACGCGCAACGCACCTCGTTTGGGCGTCAATGCGCTTGCCCACCATCTTCTGACAGTTTTCAGCACCGGTTCTGGTTGGATAAGCTGAGGAGAGTATGAAAGGAGCCAATTTGTGTAACAAAGGGCTTCATGCGGAGAGATCCTTTGGCAGCAGTTAAGATCCAATGACCAACTGCCGCCTTTCACGGCTCAACTCGAGTAGGACCCCGTTGCCGCCTGAAGCTGGCTTCATCTTTCACTCGACATTGGCCCGTCAGCGTCTTCTTTGTCCTACTGTAGGCATGCATACTCCATACAGTACCAGACAAGGGATGCTCACGGCGGCCCCCCATCCTAGCCCCGACCGATAGCGCACCCCACAAGCGTATGTACAGATCTCAAAGCCGGCGGCTCCAGCTAGAGGTTGGGCCTAGCATGGGTCCGAGGCCTCTTTGTCTGATATGGCAAATGGGCGTTCATCCTTTGTTGTCGGTGAAAGTCGCAAAGCCACACCAAAATTTGCCTCGCCCTCGTGCCGGACAGTTAGGCAGTTTCCGTAGATAGTTAAAGAAGGTTTGGGACTAGAAAGAAATCTGTGTATGAGTATTTATGGCCTTGCCCCCCGAACACCGGCTCTGCTCCTGAGCCTTTCCTCCATTTCATTGCATGCCACATTCCTTCATATTTCCACCCATCACTCTTTAGAGTACATTTGTTGTGCTGTTTTGGTTTCTTGCGATAGAATATAGACACAAGATGCACGGTTACAGCTCATCAGAAGAGTCGGACGACCCTCGTCGTCCGCGCTCGCAACCGGCCTCCTCAGGCAACAACCAGGACCAGAAGAAGAAGAGGAAGAAGAGACTGCCGCCCCAGCAGTCCATCAACAAAGTATGGAAGAAGTTTTCGAACCGCAAGTTTCACAAGGCACTCTCAGTGCTTCCCTTTGACCCCGTTGTCGCACCGCGGTCGGGGTTGGATCGGCCGAACGAGTTGATCTCGGAAGGATACGAGCGGGCTGCTGAAGAATGCCGGCGCAAAGTCCAAAAGATTGTCAAGGAGTGCAAGAGAGTCAATATGAGATACCGTGACCCTGGCTGGGATCTTGTGAGTGACCACTTGGAGAATTGCTCTGTTTATATGGGTTGGCTGACCGTTATTACTAGGACTGGGACTTAAAGTACGAAAAGGGTAACACGCTCAACTACATTGGCACCAACAAGTTCGAGGTTAGCAGATCTACTCTGCTGGGCTCCAAAGCTGTCGTCCCAAAGGCTGTCAAGAGAGTTCATGAGATTTTCGACAAGCCCACGTTCATGGGCAATGTCGACGGAAGCGATGTGAAGCAAGGAGGCCTGGGCGACTGCTGGCTGATGTCTAGCTTGACTGCATTGGCTAGTGTCAAAGATGGCGTGAAGCGCTGTTGCGTCGCCTATGATACCAGTAAGATAGAGCCACGCCGGTGATGTTGTACATGGTAGCGATGCTGACCTTTCTTTTTTCAACAGAAGTTGGTATTTACGGATTTGTCTTCTACAGAGATGGAGAGTGGGTCTACTCAATTGTCGACGACAAGCTGTATCTCAAATCTCCCTGCTGGGACTCACCGAGCATGCAGCGCGACCTCCTCCAGCAGATCGACCGCGAAGATGTTGAGTCTGTCTATAGAAAGACATATCAGACGGGTTCCAAGGCACTGTTCTTTGCCCAGTGCAAAGACCAAAATGAGACCTGGGTGCCGCTCCTCGAAAAGGCCTATGCGAAAGCTCACGGAGACTATGCCTCGCTTTCGGGTGGCTGGATCGGAGAGGGCTTGGAGGATCTCTCAGGTGGAGTCACTACTGAGCTGCTCACGTCTGACATTCTCGACCTTGACGAATTTTGGGACAATGAAATGTCCAAGGTCAACAAGGAGTTTATGTTTGGCTGCTCGACGGGCCTCTTGGACTATGGCTACGGCCAGCGTGATGGCATTAGTGAGGCCCACGCTTACGTTGTCACCGATGCCCGCACTCTCAAGTCAGGCCAGCGCCTGGTAAAGCTCCGCAACCCCTGGGGAGAAATCCGTAAGGGCCTTTGGGAGGGTCCATGGAGCGACGGCTCCAAGGAGTGGACCACCGAGGTTCAAGAGGAGCTGGGACACAAGTTTGGTAGCGACTCAGTCTTTTGGATTTCCTTTGAAGACTTGGTCCGCAAATACACTCACTTTGACCGGACTCGCCTGTTCAGAGACCCCGACTGGCGCTGCTGCCAGCGGTGGATCGGCGTCGATGTTCCGTGGAAGGCCGAGTATCATGAAAAGTTCCGCATCAAGCTGACCAAGGACTCTCCGCTGATTCTCGTTCTGTCTCAATTGGATGGCCGATACTTTAAGGGTCTCCAGGGCCAGTATAGCTTCCGCCTCCACTTCCGCCTCCACTACGAAGACCGACCTGATGCTGAAGATTACATTGTGCGATCCCACGGCAACTACTTCATGAAGCGATCAGTCTCAGTGGAGCTTCCGGATCTCCCCTCTGGAAACTATACCGTTTATCTCAAGGTAACTGGCCAGCGTGACCAGGAGCAGCCATCCGTGGAGGATGTAGTCAAGAGAGAAAGCCAAGGCCGCGTCGAAAACGAAAAGCTTGCACAGGTTGGATATGCTTACGACTTGGCGCACAGCAAGGCGTGGGAGCACATGGACAAGGTCGCCAAGATCCGCAAGCAGCGAGATCAGCAAAAGGCTTCCTCGTGCCGCCAGCAGGAGCGTCGCAGGCAGTGGGAGAGGCGTCACATCAGCCGTGAGATTTCCAAGAAGCAGAAGCAGAAGAATGGCGAGAAGAAGGACCGGAAGAAGGAGCTCAAGAAGAAGGAAGCCGAGGAGAAGAAGAAGCTGCCGGACGTTGTTGAGCCTGCGGTCGAGATCAAGCAAAAGTCCGAGGATGCGGAAGAGAAGGATTCCCTGGCCGCATCGATCGACGCTATCGATGTTGGCAAACTTTCGCTCAAGGACATCAATGACGGCTCGGATTCTGATTCTGACGGTTCACCCACGGACACTCCAAAGTCAGAGGATGCCATCGTCTTCCCTTTAGAAGAGAAGAAGGAAGATGTGCCACCGATTAGTGGAGCTCCCCCTGCCTCGGAAGACGCAGCTGACGAGCCCAAGCCGGCTGCTGACGCTGAGGAGAAGACCGAGGAGAAGACAACACTAGCTGAAGATGCCCCAGCTGTTGTAGAAGAAGAATCAGATGGAGACTCATCCGACTCTCCTGTCGAGGACTGGGAAGAACTGTATAGCAGCGACGACTACACACGCAAGCCCAGATCCTTCCCGTATCCCAGCCCTGCAGCGCGGGACGACTACGATACGGAGGAAGAGAAGATGCCTGCCCCGTGGAACGCCGTGTGCATTGTGGGCATCCGCGTCTATTCCAAGGACTCCGAGCTGGAGCTCCTGACTGTAATGGAAGGTGGTGAGCTGGATGGGATGGGCACCAAGGGCCAGGCGGATCTTGATGATGCGCAGAATAATGCCGGTGGCGTGGGCCTTACGGAGGAGGCGGGAGGAAGCATTGGTCTTTCGGTAGAGTGATTTTGGGTATGGTATGCATGGAGCCATGTTTTGATGTTTTTGATGCATTTCGCATAGATGATGCGTTTTATGATTTAGCTAGACAAGACTCTGCTTGTTAGAATTGTTTCTATAGAAACGTGTATCCTGAAGAATCTCCGAATTAATACGGCATTATGAGCTTTTTTGGATATTTGCATTCATGAATTGAGAGATCGTAGAGCTGTGATTTGGCTATTGTGTGACAGGTGGCACCCTTTCTTACAAGGTGTAGGAGCTCTCCGTTTGTTCCATCTTACACGTCTCATCATAACAAGGGAAGCAAATCATTTACATCGCTGCGGAAACTCTATTTACTTTAATCGCAATGAATTAGAGTGGGTGCTTGATAGCGGGTTTGGTTCGGATCAAGAGGCGGAAACGCCGTTTCTTCCATCTGGGGAAGTCGTTTTTGGAGGAGGTAGTGAATGACGGAGACGCACGGACTAAAGGTGGAAGAATAAAGACGAAACATATTGTTGGAATGTTGCAATTATTAGATGGAAATCTTGGGTTGATGGAGATGAGTTTGCAAATGGTAATCTCTTGAAAAAAGAACTGGCACAACAGATGATCTCGTCTCCATCTCCTTGGTGGTCTAAAAGCACGATTACATGTACATGTAGTTGGGGAGTGTCTTTCTGCCTAGATGGATACATGCATGTATGGAGAGATACAGGTAGATACAGGTCCATACTTACAGGTACGGGGCGCCGAGCACGAATGGACTCACAAACGAATACGACTACGACGAGAAGTTAGATGACTGAAAATCTTTGTACGCCGCATATTCAAACCCCCAAAAGATTTGGATCCAACAAGCATCACCGGCAGCAAAGCTCACCACCCCAAGTCCATAATGAGACTGCATTAGCATTTCCGCATTCCAATCCATTCATTGCGTCACACCGATTCGGGGACTCAACCCAGCGCCAAGTGTGCTAACCGTTAGTGAAGCTAGCGCACCTGTCAGGGGCTAGGATGTACCAGTGCCGGGCGACTCACCTGCAATTGCGGTGTAACGGCGAGTATCTGTACCTGCAGTATGCGGCGTCTTACACTGCACTGTATGCGCTGCAGGGGACCATTGAGCGCTAAAAGCAGTAAAGTCCAGCAGGTTGACACCGGCATGACGCCTGGGTGGCTTATCAGCGTCTTATCAGCCTCCCCAGAAGTTTGAAGCTCCCGGAGAGTCACGTTCTCTCCGTTTCGTCTCTTCGTCAACCTCAACCCATCTCTGTTTCGGCTCATCATGTAGCCTGAGGCATCCTTTCATTGAGACGATAACAGATCTTGCGATATACGACACAACTCACCATGGCTGCTGTTTCGCCTGCGGCTTCGACTCGGCGCAGTCCGGGCTCATCATCGGCCGGCTCGCTGAGGCCATCGAGCGACCCCATGGCCATCTCGGTCGACACTCTCGTCAACCATCTACTGGTATCGAAGCGATCGCTGTCATCGATGACGCTTGTGCTGCGTGCCGACGAAATCGTAACGGCAGCGCGGCAGTCTCATGAAGACACGGTCATGCTGGCGGCCCAGACGGGGTTTCTGCGAAATGCCATTGCCGACCAGGTACTGATTCTAGGCCGTGTGGGCAAGAGCCTGCAGGCGACATGTGAATGGGGGAAGAAGGATTTTGTGAAGCTCGTCAGGCGGATGGATGAGGTCGACGGACAGCTCAAGGCTACGATGGACATGCTAACGACGACGCCTGTTGATACGACGCTACGGCCCAAGGGGGAGCCGAGGAAGAGCCTGCTGGACTTTGTGGACGAGGGGAGCGTCCACGGGATGCGAAATGCCATGAAACAATGCATAGAGGAGCTGCAGGTACGTGCTTCCATAACACCAGGTCGTTGCTTGTTTGCTGACCTTGATGGGTGATGCTATAGGCGATCCAAATTTCATTCGACGGCGACCTCCTCCGGCTCGAAACCGATATTCGAAACATCAAGAAAATCATTGAGAATGTGGAAATGCCTGAATCTCAAGAACCTGCATCAAAACTACTGTTCGACTTGTTTGAGCACTCGGCCACCATGGCGGAATCTCTAGCCTCTCTGACGCAGCATTTCGACATGTGCGTTACGGCTATACGAACGACTGAGGGAGCTGCAGCTTTGGCCCGCAGAAAGGCGGCCGAGGTTACCCAATCCCAAGGCGGCGAGAGCGTCTCAATATCAGGAGTCATTGCTGAGCAAGAGTCCAACCGATCCGACCTCGAGCCACAAACAGCAGAAGATAGAGCCGAAATGCTACGGGTGGTCATACATGATGCGCAGTTGGTGGAAGGCGTCGTGCACGATATTCAGGAGCATCTCGCCGAGGTGGAGCGCAAGTATAATGAACTGGGAGAGCACACAGAACAGACTAGAAAGGCGCACCTAGGTATGCTTGATGCCTATGCTGAGCTGGGAGAGGTCGGTGACCGCCTTGCCGACTACCTGGCCGCTGAAGAGGACTTTCGAAGCCGATGGGAGATGGAAAAGGACGTCGTGTTTACCAAGCTTGAGGAGATGACGCAGATGACGGAGTTTTACGAAGGATACGCGAGCGCCTATCACGGCTTGCTGATGGAGGTTGCACGTCGCCGAAACGTCGAGGACAAAGTACAAGCTACTTGGCGCAAGGCACAGGAGACTATCGACAAGATGCTCGAAACTGACCGCCTTGAGCGAGAGGCCTTCCGGTCAGAGGTCGGCGAGTTCCTGCCGACAGATCTGTGGGCCGACATGCAAGGGTCGGTCAAGAGGTGGAAGATTGTCCAGGTTGACGATGATGAACAAGCAGCAGAGGGAAGCGCCGCCGCAGATACGAATCGAGGGAGCGGCTAAACCAAGTACATTGGTGGAACGCTTTTCTTTTTTTTTGCAGATATAAAAGCATCTCTGCTTCTGCTTTGGACTTAATAATTCGGGCTTTACGCACCATTTGGCTTAGGATGAGCTGTTTAATTACGGGTGCTGGATATACCGACGATATTTGACTGTTACTTGAAAGGCTTGGGGATATGGAGTTTGTATTGTATCTGGTTAATGGGATATAAGGGCACGGGCATACTTGGAGTCTGTCTTTATTTGAATGAGCAATAATACGACTTATCCTATTTATTTGGAGTTTGCATTGTTACGTTCTCAACTTGGACGCGATCCGAAGTATATACGCTGCGGCCCAACCAAAGTGACTTCTAATGAACCATCACCATAGTTCAGATTCTCAGCTACTCCACACATGTCATTCTTGATTCCCACAGCGGAGCGGCCCTTGATTTAGTTCCATGACAGATCGGTCTTCCTTCCGCTCTCGTAGTGCCGTCTTAGCCGGTATATGTATCCATCTGTAAGAACAACAGCCTAGAATCAAGAACATTCATGAAAGGATCAAGCACATGTAATAGATGGTTGTCTTCGTTTTCCCTCGTATATGTATGTTGTCACATATATGGATAGATGGACACTGTTTGAAAAGATCTATTGGTTCGCAGCAAGATGCCCAGATAAGAACGCACTCATTTCAGTGGTAACGTTCCGTACATACATTTAGGATTTTATGTTATTTGATAGGTGAAGCCCCTTGGGCACCATCAATGTCACATCCATTTACCAATATGTAGTATGCAACTTCTCTATATCTTCGACTTGGAATCGGAAACTTTTTGCGTCTCACGTCATCTCTTTATCCAAACATACTCTCAATCCCATCATATTCAGCTTGACTACTAGAGAAATGCAACAATATTTGACAAGTCACAATTGTTTCTGCCGAAAGTGGGTGCCGATTCACTCCTTTCAGCCGGCTTCGCCCATACAGAGCAAGCCGTCGATGAAACATCGTGGGGTGGGAGAGGCTAGCTTATCAGTTCGCAGATGTCCATTCGGTCGGATCGTATTTCGCATTGCCAGGGCAGAGCGGGTTAGCTGGACCGAGCTGTCTAAAGATTGGACGAGAAAGGTAATGGTGTTGACAGAACGTGGGGGTTTGCATCCTACTCACTTGCCACCTTGTTTGCAAATAGACATGGAGACAAGGTTGGATCGGAAGACCGGCGAACGGCACAAGGCCGGCTTGGCCCCTTTGACAGGCTTGGCCCCTTTGACAGGCTTGGCCGATGCTGTTTGATTGGTTTTTGTTTACGACTGATCGCAGCGTGCTAGTGGCTGTATGTCCGCGTTCAATGCTGTCTTCTCATATAATTCTGCGAGGCGACCTTGGGGGGAGGGTTACGTCAAGACACACACTTGTCTCTTGCATTTAGTGATTGTTACAAGCAATTAAATGCTAGCAAGGCACGGGCGGCCTGCGCAATCAGTAATCGGCTCCTTCAACGGGCTTTATGACATCCTAGCCAACTTACAATCCTACGTTACCGTAATCACATTGCCCTTTTACACCCAAATTTTATTGTATATACATATATGGACTTGCTCAAGCTCGCCGTCTCTGAGGGCTGCATAGTTTGGAGATATATATTGTCAAGCAATTCTCGTCTGAAGTAACGACGAACGATCTCAGAGCAATCACAAGCTTTACTCAGCATCTTTCCCTCTACGTGGAAATACATACTGTTATTCGCCCGTCATGTCTCTCACCGTAATCTCGCTACCTGACGGAGGCGTTAAACTGGCCACTCTTTTTGGAATTGTACTGTGCTTTTTAACTGCCTTGTTTCATTGTCGCACGAGTCGAGCAGTCAAATATTTCCCTGGTCCTAAGCCATGGCCGCTTGTTGGCAATTTACCTTATTTCTCAAAGGTCTTGAAGAACATGCCGGTAGAGATTCCTTTGTTGGCCAAACGATTCGGAGGGATTTGTATGCTTTGGATGGGCTCTCTACCAACGCTGGTGATCAATAACCTCAGAGATGCAGATGAACTGCTATACAAGGTCGGCCTAAGCTCTTCTCTTGTCTATTCTCCATCAAGCAGAGACAGTCTTCTAACGTACATACAGAATGGGGCATTAACGTCTAATAGACCGAAGAAGAACATCTTTATGGAGCGCGTAATGCCACATTATATCGGCACTTCGGAAATTGGTGATGAATTACGCTTCTTTCGACGCATATACACGGATCTCCTGGCTTTCAAACAGTCACAGCGTGTTAAAAAGTACCAAAATTACGAGTCTATATCTATGCTGAATGCTTTATGCGAAGATCCTGATTCGTTTGAGTCGCATTTAACACGAGGAGGGATGAGCGTTATCTTCTCAGCTGTATATGGCGTCCGTCTCAGCCGTCTCGACCACCCGATCCTGCTCGAACTATTCGCCATTTGGGGAAAGATGTTAAGATGTATGTAACAATAGAATGTGCCCTCTATAAAATTATGGTATGTGAGTGGACTGACAAATATGTGCCATCATGACCAGACATGCAACCTGGAAGCCTCATAATAGACTATTTGCCCTTCTTGGAGATGTTGCCGCTGCGGTTCCAGCCATGGGTACACCTCGCAGACTCACTTGCCTCACGCCAACATGCAATCCACATGACGTTTCTCAAGATGCTGAGGAAGCAAATTGGAGCCGGAGTAGAGCCTGTATGTTTTGGCGCAGACATGTTGGAGCGCCAAAAGCAGCAGGGATTCGACGACAAAGTTGCCATTGGCATTCTATCCGGGATGATACTTCTCGGGGGTGAGTCAACCGCCAGCATGATGAATTCTTTCATCAAAGTCATGGCTATGTATCCTGAGGCTCAGAAGAAAGCTCAACAGGGTAAGTATAGAGCGAGTCTCGAGTGATTTATCACAAGACGTACCTTTTAGTGACCAGTTGATCGCAGAACTTGACAAAGTTATCGGACCTTCTCGTCTCCCAACTTGGCAAGACCAAGAAAATCTCCCCTACGTCAGAGCTCTCATCAAAGAATTGCACAGATACAGCCCCATTCTCAGTTTCGGTGCCCCGCATGCCTCTACAGAAGAGATCACATACAAGGGATGCACGATTCCAGATGCCACCTTGATCCTCCCTAGTACGGATAATCTTCACCATGATCCATTGAGATATGATAATGCCGATAAGTTCCAGCCAGAGCGCTTCTTAGGGGATGAACTGGATGCTTTTGCTAGCGCTAAACACCCTGATTATCTCAAACGCGACCACATCAATTATGGCTTTGGCCGTCGTCTCTGCCAGGGTACGTGATGCTTTATGTATCGTCACCAGATTTGTGACAAGTAATCTGACATTTCTATAAGGCATATATGTGGCAGAAAACTCGCTCTTTATTCAAGTATCTCGTTATCTATGGGCGTTTAACATTACTCCTAGGGCTGGTGAACCTCCGCTGAGCATGGCTGATATAATGGGTGAGTAACCATAGTATTCATATTGTATATTGACTACAGAATATGTTGCTAATGCACTATCTCTTCGCTATAGAGACGATGAATAGAAAACCCAAGCCATTCAAAGTGGACATCACGCCGCGATCAGATGCGGTATTGCAGGTGGTACGACAGAGTGCAGAAGAGGCATGTACGGATATTCCAGACGTAGATGATATTGATATTGATATGATCGATTAAGTGCTCTCCGTGTATAATAAAAGAAGATATTAGCAGCACACATCTTGATCCTAGTCATCATTGGGCGACACAAGGTATGATAAAGCACTTCTTCTCTAGTAGAAATTCAGATGCTCGATGATACTACCTTCAGAAATCATCACGCCCGTGTACTAAAACGTGATTTATGGATATTATTCATGCGGAAGTTACAACCGTGATAAAATCTCTACACTGTAAGACAGTATTTGGTCACCCCTTTTCGATACATCTCCCTATTTTATCAGCCTTATATATTCTTGATTAGCACATGCATTTCTAGCTAATTATTTCATGATCCAGTATACGCCATCCGTCTAGATCTTGAAGAATTGCTGTAAGTTCTTGTCGAGCTGTAGCTTGCTTTGATGGATCCACCGTCTTCACCTAGCTTCACAAAAAATTTCCTAATTAGGAGTTTTTCATTTGGCTGCAGATGTCGTGATATCCAGGTAGCAACTACAGCCAATCATCTAATTGAAGGTGACCACAATCTTGATAATGTCGTGTGAATTGATACAGAGGTTGAAATAAGATGTACATACTTGTGTGTGCAATGGAAATGCCGACTCTCGCAGCATTGGCTATTGGGGCCTGGACTATGGGTCTCTTGACAGGACTTGTAACACCTCCCCACGCCGCTTGCTTGTTTCAGTAGGCAGTCTTGTTATATAAAACATTTCTATAAACATAACGAGATTTTGATTAATGTCATTTATAACATGTAATCCATAGCTGCATACAAAGGCAAGCATTCTCCGATCAGGGAGCACAGCTACCGAGACCTTGGGAGCCTTCGGAACTTTAATTGTATAAATTGTCGTAGGTGGTAGGCTATAAAACCCCGGTCGATAAGCTGAGCTATGGAGTACAGAAACTGACGACATATTTAGCCCTGATGGTCTCATATAAGTGAAAACAGAATGCGCCTTTGGCTGTCAACTCATCACGCCATGCAGTTCTACGATGACGCTCATTCATTGACTATTGTTCATAGCTCTCAAGCATTTACTTATATCAATGGAGTTGTACATATCGATGTTGAAGAGATGAATATACATTGTAGATGAAGCAAATTTACAATGAGTCTGCTACTGAGATCCGATGACACTATTGTCCCATCTCCCTTACCGCAGGGTGCTGGCTATGCAGTAGTCGTTGCAGTTGGGCTCATATTTGCCCTTGGTTTGTTTCTCTCCAGTATAGCTCCTATTTATCAGTACTAACAATATCAGGAATGATTGGAATAACAAGATTATTGAAGAAAACTCTTAATGAAGATAATGCCAATGTCGAGACGTGAGCAATGATCTCTCAAAACTAAAGTTTCCATTTTCATTAACATATTTTCAGTTTCATGGTTGCCAATCGATCAGTGGGAACTGGTCTCGTTGCCTCTGCAGTAGTATCAGTAGGTGTCTATCAGTCCAATTCAGGATGAGGTCACTGACCAAGAGATATAGTCGTGGCTATGGAGTACAGCTTTGCTCAGCTGTGTCCTAGTGACATACCTTTATGGAGTCTCTGGAGGGTTCTGGTATGGAGCTGGATGTACACCGTACGTTCTACCATAATAACTTATGTACAGCAGCTGGTATTTCATAATGGCTGACCTTTACAACCCACAGAATGATTGTCTTCTTCGCATACCTAGGAGTGGTATGTAAGAAACGCATCCCAGAGGCACATACCGTTCTGGAAATAGTTCGAATCAGATATGGTGAGAATGAGTGGCCATAATTGGTTTGATTCAAGACTAATCAAATTACCAGGCGCTATTGCTCATCTTGTATTCACTTTCTTGGCGGTTGTAAACAATCTGTTCAATACTATCAACATGATCTTGGGTGCTGCCGCCGTTATCACGTTCCTGTAAGATATACGTGTTTAGTGTCTTGCAGTGAAGACTTTTTCTAACATCCTACAGAACAGGCATCCACATAATGGCTTCAACCTTCCTCTTGCCGGTTGGAGTTGTATTATACACACTCGTTGGTGGTATAAAAGCAACGTTTGTGCCTCATCCTTAATACAGTCTAAATGCCCAGCTAACACTTATACCTGTAGGTTTTTGACAGATTATATACATACCTTTGTTATTGCCATCTTGTGTTGCTACCTCACAACAAAAACTCTTACACATCACGACGTTGGTTCCATCGATGGGTTATATGATCTCGTGGTTAAGGCTCAGCCTTCATACGAGGTTGATGGGAACTACCAAGGATCTCTCCTCACAATGAACTCCCAGCAAGGGATATTTTTTGCCATTATTCTGCTCGTTTCAAATTTTGGAGCCGTCATTGTAAGTGGAAACCGTTCTTTGACGGAGAACATCTACTAATTTGTTCAGATGGATACGAGTTACTTTATCAAAGCATTTGCTGCATCTCCTAAGGCCGTGGTACCAGGTTATGTTGTTGGTGGCTTTGCGTATTTTTCTATTCCGTGGAGTCTAGGAACAATCATGGGCCTCGCTGCCTTGGGGCTCGAAAGCTCCCCAATTTTCCCGACATATCCTCGGGTAAGTCACAGTTGTCACCTGACGAATGCCAATACTGATTTATGCATTCAATAGACCATGACTAGTTTAGAAGTAACAAACGGCCTTGTGCTTCCGTATGTAGCCGTGGCAGTCGCAGGAAAGGGTGGTGCAGTCGCTGTCCTGCTTATGACATTCATGGCAATCACTTCAACGCTGTCCGCCCAGGTTATTGCAGTGTCTTCCATCTTCACATTCGACTTTTACAGAACTTACATCAACAAAAATGCAGGCAACAAAGACGTTATCCGATGGAGCCATCTGGGAGTCATTCTTTTTGCAGCGATCTCGGCTGGATTGACTGCAGCGTTTAATTACGGAGGGATTAACATGGGTTGGACTCTGTATATGATTGGTAAGAGAAAGAACATGCCGATATAACATTGATAATTAACACATTAACTACAGGAGTTGTTACATGCCCTGGAATATTCCCTTTGATCCTCACGATTTTGTGGAATAAACAAAGCGCTTTAGCAGCTGTTGTTTCGGCTATAGCTGGCCTAGGAACGGGCCTCGGCGTGTGGCTCGGAACTGCACAAGCATTTTTCGGCGAGGTAACGGTCGACTCTACTGGACAAACCCTGCCTTGCATGTATGGAACTGTGGCGTCTGCTCTCAGTCCTTTGCTGTATACAGTTATCCTGTCACTCATCTGGCCAGATAATTATGACTGGGCGCGATTTACAGACGAAAAACTGTTACTTGACAGCGATACATCGGCTGAGGAATTGGAACGAGAAGCGCCAGTCCGTCAAAGCAGTAAAGGCGGCGTCCTAAGCGAAGCGTCAGAAGTTGTGTATGACCAAACAGATCTGAGATGGCAGCGATATGCGCTATTCTGGTCACTTTTCTCCTTCTTTGGCATTTGGGTGCTGTGGCCTCTGCCAATGTACGGTGCAAAGTACATTTTTAGTAAAGTTGTAAGTTTTGCCATTCCAATCTCTTTGTCGTATTATCTAACTCCCTCAATAGTTTTTCAGATCATGGATTGCAGTGTCACTCATATGGTTGTGGATAAGTCTTCTTATACTTGGCTTGTATCCGTTATATGACGGGCGGAAACAGATCTTGAAGGTGTTGCGTAGCTTACGAGGCTAGACCAGGCCATACAAAAGGAGAAACGATGGATATAAAAACATTACCACTCGTATTAAATAAACTGCATCAGACTGAACGAGAATATGACCAACCAAGCTGAAATACTGCATGATGGCAAGACCACGGTCAACTAGTCTTCTCGTGAACTTGTTCGCCCTCAATGTCATATGCATCCACCTCGTATTTGCGAAACTTGCGAGCAGGAATTCCTCTCTCAAACAAAATATCCAACTCTTCGTACGATCGCTTAAAGGTTTCAGGATATCGAAAGAACGCCCACACCGTCACAAGCACTGAGGTTCCGCCCCAGAAGTAGGCTGTCTTACCGGCCCACCCCCAAGCAGTGGGATTGATCATATACGGTTCGAGAACGGCTGCAATAATGTCGAAAAGTTGGTGTGCTATTTTCGCGGCAGCAACACTCTGTACCCGCAAACTGATGGCAGAAACCTCACTCGATGTTGCGTAAGCTGCTGGGCCAACCGAAATATCGTAGCAGAATACCCATAGGATAGTCAGAGCCACTTGTCCCCATTTGGTTGACTCATTAGCATGAACCGTTGCCAAGATGCCGATGAGAATGTTGACTATGGTCATGAAAACCATGCCCCAAAGGTACAGACTGCGACGGCCCAGGTGGGCAATAAGGACACATCCAATAGCAGTTGCAAGCAATCCGATAGCGGTAGCAGCCACGGAAACCTTGTAGCTGTTTTTAGCAGACAAACCAGCTTGTTCCCAAAAGTATGTGCCTGGATTCATCATAAAGATGCCGTTAAAGACCTGACCAGCGAATGCCATACAGCAAATCTCAGTTCGACGAAGGTTGCTGCCTCGGAATAGGTCAATGTAGGATGACCCTGTTCGTATTTCTTCTTCGTAGTTCACGGTATGGATGATCATGGCCAAATGTTCTTTGATCTTTGTGTCGCTCTTGGAGCTCAGGCGACGAATGCTGTGTTCGGCCTCTTGGATGCGACCTTTGCGAACGAGATACCAAGGAGACTCGGGAGCAAAGAGACACCCGATGAAGAGCGGAAGGGGCCAAACCCATTGGATAGCGAATGGGATCCTGTAGGACCACCGTGAGTCTAAGCCGACAAGGCCATCGAGAACGCCGATTGCTATAAGCTGGCCAATGATTTGCATAATATTGACACCGCTGGTAAGGAAGCCACGCAGCGAGATCGGAAGACATTCTGAGCTATATGCCGGTCCGATAGACGCAAATGTGCCCCAGACCATACCGCAGAAAATCTCACCAACAAGAAGCGTTTCCAGGTTTTGAGCGCTGAAGGGAATAGCAACGAAGCCGGTCATGAGAACAAGGCCTGCCAGCATAACCCTCTTGTAACCGAATCTTGACGAGAGAAAGCCGTTGAACGTAGCACCGAGGATGATACCACAGATACTCCCTTGCGACAGGCCTGTTTGCCATTTCGCGGGGACCTGGTAACCATCTTTGACAGGTAGACCGTACGCTTTTTGAAAGGCTGGATAACCGTAGAAGTTGTTGATGAGAGCATTGTCATACCCATACATTGCTATCGAGAGGGACAGAAATGAAGCCCAGGCAACTCCTTTCCATTGCACACGAACAGCCTCGAGGATGCCTTGGGAATGCTCCAGGTCGGTGGCCTCTTTGGCCCCCTGAACGATGACGCCCCATTCCTTTTCAGGAGCAGCTTCAGTCTCAACAGCCTGAGCCACGGCTTTGTCATCTCGGCCACGGAGATTGTCAAGAATGGCTGGAGCCATGATGGTGGTATGGTGGAAATTATCTTGATGGACTGGATGACTTCTGCTTCGAGTCTCGGATCTATGCGACAAGGGACATATTATATACTTTTGAAGATCTTGCATTAACCCATGATAGTAATACGTCACGTATCACTCACTAAGTAAGTGTTGTTTCTTTGAGGTTGGCTGTTAGGCTTGGCTGTGCTACAACTTCCTGGGGTGCCCAATGGCCATATGCCGGCAGCACAACTTCCCCCATCTACCTTGCTCTAGCTTCAGACGATCTTGGATGTAACCCAAACCCGGCTGATGGTTGGGGGATAGATGATAATGTAGGTCGCCTCTCAAGCCACAACGTGGATGGTAGCTTACTGGTTTTGGCTTTTGTAGCATCTGCTATCAATAGTCATGTATCTAATCTTTCCCAAACTTCGTATACGGCTGAAACATCAGGTTCTATGGACGCATGGAAAGTAATCAATCATGAGACATGATAAGAATAGACAGCGCACTATTGCCGTTATCTCCCCGGATGGCCTCGCCTCCCAAGATATCATTGGGAGATGCCATCCGTTAGCTTCAAACTACTCGATAACACCAGTGATTTTAGCCGAACCTCTGAATTACCCCGGATTTTGGAAAGGAAGGGAAGTGACATCGTGTAACGTTATATCGGCTGTCAGTTCCGACGGTTGTTCAAGCGATCATTGCTCTTCGGGATCATGGCCCTGCTATCTAGACAGCAACTTGCACGGCTAGCGTTCGTGTAGACAAAGAATGAGTCTAACCCCCGCAGTGGCGCTTGGCTGGAGAAAGAGAGCCATGACACTAGAAAACTCCAAAACTTCACCGCGGTTATACGAGTAACTGCTTGTCGATCGTACCCCGCTTTCACTATTTAAGACCACGATACGGAGTAGTTGAGGTCACAATGGTCTGAGTGGGGGACAGATTACATGGTATACATGTAGGTAATAGGGCGGGTTTTAGTCGAGCTACTGGAAACAAGCCCGTTATAACCGCGTATCGACGAGATAATATGCGTCTTGGCGCCCCGTATCTGTCATGGTTCCGGAATTGTCTCGGTATAGATAATGGACGATGAGGCTTCTTCTCCGCGGTAGTTTTGGTCCGGCTTGGGCATTATCAAGTAGATCAGCCTGCAGCTACTTATCTTTACTCAGGTGCTACCACCACAGTCAACCAAGCCAGATAACAGCGACTCAACTTACAATGCCCTTTGACGCAGTTGGTTCCATTGGGGGAGGTTCCAGTGATGGTGCGGATGCATTGTTCGACCCCTCAGCTCCCTTCTTCAGTCGCTTCAACAGTCGCAGGTCAGTTGTCTATAGCACAAAGGGCATCGTTGCGGCCTCGCAACCTCTTGCTGCACAAGCCGGCCTTGACATCTTGAAGGCTGGTGGCAATGCTGTCGATGCTGCGATAGCCACTGCCGCCGCTCTCGGCGTGACTGAGCCATGCTCGACTGGAGTGGGAGGAGACATGTTTATGATCTACTGGGATGAGAAGAAGCAAAAGGCGTTTGCAATGAACGGCTCAGGTCGATCACCAGCTGGGCTGACAATCGAAAAATGCCGAGAGTTGGGTATGAGCGGCAATATTCTGTCGCCTCAAAACGCAAACTCAGTCACAGTTCCTGGACAAGTCGCCGCTTGGTTCGACGCCATGGATGCTTACGGAAGTGGAAAAGTTACGATAGAGCAGGTGTTGAAGCCATCTATTGAACTCTGTGAAGATGGCTTCCCTGTTTCTGAAATCACGGCCAGGCAATGGATAGAGTGCGAAGGGATGCTGAAAAGGGTTTCTCCAAGTGGAGGCGAGCTTCTTTTGGCAGACGGCAAAGCTCCTAGAGCTGGCCAAATCTTCAAAAACCCAAACCTTGGCAAGGTGCTTCGAGAAATAGCCACCAAAGGCAAAGCAGGCTTCTATGAAGGATGGGTAGCTGAGGCCATCGTGGGAACTCTCCAGCAGCTGAAGGGAGTTATAACGACACAAGATTTGAAGGATCACACAACCACCTTTGTTGAGCCGATATCGAAGTCGTATAAAGAGTTCAAACTCTGGGAATGCCCACCCAATGGCCAAGGTATCATAGCACTAGAGGCGTTGGGTATCATCGACAGTTTGGAGAAGGCAGGAAAGATTCCTTCCCTCAAGAGCCTAGGACACAACTCCGTTGAATACGTCCATACACTGGCAGAGGCCCTGAGATATGCCTTTGCTGATGGAGATGCCTACGTTTCAGACCCAGAGCACTCTGGTTCAGCTTGGAAGAGCCTTCTGGACGATAAGTACCTGGCTGAGCGAGCGTCCAACTTCAAATTAGATACATTTGATGCCACTTTGAAGAACGGATTCCCCGCCAAAACCTCCGACACAGTCTATCTGACTACCTCTGACTCTGAAGGCAACGCTTGCAGCTTCATCTGCTCCCTTGCTTCCAATTTTGGTGGCGGAATTGTTCCCAAGGGCTGTGGCTTCGCCTTACAGAATCGAGGTACTCAATTCCAGCTACGCGAGGGCCATGTCAACACACTCAAACCTCGGAAGCGACCTTATCATACAATTATTCCAGCAATGGTGACAAAGAACGACCGACTTGACCTTGCCATGGGTGTCATGGGCGGGTTTATGCAACCCCAGGGCCACTTGCAGGTTATGCTCAACTCTTGCGTCTTTGGCTTCAATCCGCAAGATGCTCTGGATTCACCAAGAATTTGCATTCGACCCTCACGTACGATGCCTGAGTATGCTACGACAGACGATTACTCCAAGTTGACGCAAAAGTCAATCGTATGCTTGGAAGAGGGATTTCCTCAAGAGACTGTTGAGGGCCTGCGCAAACTGGGACATGAAGTAGAGCTCATAACAGGATGGGATCGCGCGGTATTTGGCCGAGGACAAGCTATTCAAGCAAAGCAGGATCCAAGCGGCCAAAGAGTGTACCATGCTGGAAGTGATCAACGTGGTGACGGACATGCAGTTGCTCAGTAGAATTGTAATGCAATGACGTAAATACATACAGTTTGCGGAATCAACATAGACATACATACTTTAACAATCTTCTCTCTCGTAATATTCTTGTTCACTCTGCTGAAAAATTTCTCGAGGCCCCCTTGATCAGAATCCAGCCTCATCTGTCTCTCCATGCGTCTTTGAGATGGCCCCCCGCTCTGGTGCGCTGCTGTCTCGACATGTAGAGTCAGGCCCCCTTGTTTAAACGCCTCGTTCAAAATTTTAACTTTTCGAGTGCTTGTAAAGAGCAACTTGATGACACTTTGAATCGCCGTATCGGTTATTAGTTGTATCAATTCGTTGATTGTGTCGAGGCCGTCCTGAAACCCATTGCGCTCGTAGACGTATGCCTCATCAACTAGGATCATGACAGTGATTTCCCTCGGTAATGAGCGTATAAGCCGGTACAGGAGGAGAAATAACTCTCCTGGATCACGTTCTCTTACAAGGCTCTTGTCAGTGTCATCATACTCTCTGTCGAAATCGAAGTGGTGTTGTCGGCATAATTGAACGATCAAGTCTGCAAGCATAGCCCGGGCTTCATCGTTTCCATATATGGAATGGAGGCCACAGAACCATGTGATACAGATGAATCGGCTGTGGGAGTCCAATATAGGTTCAAGTGACGCGCAGAATACCGATATGGGGGAGATGCCTGCATGGGTCCTTGGCTGGCGTTGATTCCACAGAATAAGGAGCTTTTCCGACTTGAGCGACATGAACCAGGCGCGATACTTCCTGTCGTTGAGAAGTTGCTCAGCACGTGATAGTTCGTCAGCAAGAAGATGAGCTTTTCGCTTGTTGATGAACCGTAGATTAGTGTCCTTGTATTCAACTTGTAGTAGATCTTGTAGCTCCTTGTCACCTAGGCAAAGGGGGCTCAAATGAAACATGTGGATATTATTAGGGGAAAAGGTACGTCTGTTCTCCTTACGACCCTTTTTTTTTTTCGCCTTTGTATCTTGAATCACCTTTTGACTAGACCATAGGGAAGGGTTTGATTCTACTTTTACATGGTGCTCCTGGCGTTGGCAAAACATCTACAGCAGGTAAGCACTCTATAAAAATAAGATGACCAAGATAAGAGATTGAATTAACCAGAGGATATTCAAAGAGGGCGTAGCTGAATGTTTTCAAAAGCCTCTTTTTCAGATTACATGTGGTAAGCGCCTACAAAAGTGACCAGCTTACATATGACATGCTATATACATGTACTGATCAAATCGTACAACCACAACTAGGTGACTTGGGAGTTACAGCAAGAGACGTGGAAAAGACACTGCAAATGAACTTTAACCTGGCCACAAAATGGGGGTGCATTCTACTATTAGATGAAGCAGATGTTTTTCTTTCTCAAAGAGAAGAAACAGATTTTGTACGGAACGGAATGGTAGCAGGTGAGTACAGAGATCAGTTGCTATTCAATCGACCCCAAGGGTGACCGGAGATAAAGCTAATTGATTAATTCTTTGTTAGCATTTCTACGTGTTTTGGAGTATTATACCGGAATCTTGTTCTTGACAACGAATCGTATTGGTGATTTCGATGAGGCTTTTACCTCGCGAATTCATATCAGTCTTTACTACCCTGAACTTGATACTAAGAAGACTGTCGATATTTTCAAACTCAATCCCAATCTTATTCAGAATCGATTTAAGGGAATGAATCGTGTAATTCAGATAGATTATAAAGGGATCGAGGTCTTTGCTAAGATGCACTATTGGTGGTACTACGATTCGCGATGGAATGGGCGTCAGATCCGCAATGCTTGTCAGACAGCCTTGGCGCTCGCAGAATATCAAGCCCAGCAAGATAGCAAATCAGCCGGTCTCGATTCGGAAGCCCCTGTCAAACTAACCGTCAATTATTTCGAAACCGTACGCGATGCCTATCTCGAGTTCACCAAATACTTGGCTGATCTTTACGGCGCCAACACTGCCAGAGTGGCTGAGGAGAGATATATTCGTGCAGAAGAGAAGCCGAATAGAGGAGGAGAAATGATATACACGACAAAACAACTTCAAAAGATGTTGAAAGATGGAGTCAAGCCTGGGAGCTATAGATTGTCTTCTCTGCAGCGAAAGCCGAGCTACGAGGTGTACAGTTCTGGGGAGGCTGATCGAAGATTTTGGGAAGAGCAATCTCGAAAATCTCAAATTGGCAGATCCATCCGTGATCGCAATCAAACTGAGCCACCTTCAACCTCAAAAGCTCCCCGAGCCCAGCGTCTCTTGCCACTAGAGAGGGTGGCACCATCTCCAAGACCATCGCCAAATTTATACCGACAGCGGAACGCCCCTCTGCCACCGGATATCGAAAGGGGGTCAAGTAGCCGAGATTATGGCAATCGTCAGCGGAGAAATGAGAAAAGAGAACCGCAAGTAAGCTGGGATTCCGACGGTTTTGGAGAAGATGACAATGACGACGAGTACTCTGATACGTTGCAGCGACGCCAGAATCAGCGCCAACAAGGGCCAGATGATATGTCGGAAGAAGAACAAGAGTATGCCGACGGCAGTGACATCAATTTCGAAGAACAAACCGTGAAGACAAGAAACCGCGGTCGAAGAGAACGAGCTAGCTCTCGATTTGCGGGGAAACAGAATTAATAGTTTGATCCAGTGTAGGATGGTAGCAAGGAGGCCTGGGAGACTCTTTCGAAGTTAGGTAATTGATGGAGGATGAGTTGACATTTTACTTCTTCACTGTCATTCAGATAACTTATGCTGAAGCTTTTTATATAGAAAACAGAGAGTATCTATTTGGCGAAGAGATAAAGTTTCTTCTCCCTCATATTTTTAGTCATACCTAGGTAACGAAACGCTGATATCTGCTACCTACATATATATAGGTGCCTGCAGTAGATGAAATGATTCCAGATTTCAACCCTTCTCATCTTATTCCATTACTTGAACTCTACGCAATCGCCAGGGTGCTGAATAGCTATTCTATGAATGAAAGCTAACTGACAGCCTGACAGTTACAATCCCGTTATACCTATGGCCTACTCTGCACATCTACCTTGACATCATCCAACTTAGAAGTCAAGACTCTTCCATCCTTGACAACAGCTAGGATAGTCTCTGAAGCACGATCCAGAATCGTGATATCCTCCAAAGGATTTCCATTCAACACGATAAAGTCCGCAGCATATCCTTCCTTAATCTGCCCCAGCTCGTTTTCTCTCATAAGCAACTTCGCCGCGTTGACAGTTGCGCTGCGAAGAATCTCCGCAGGTGTCTGCACCTGGCTTCGTACCGAGAACTCTTTGCTTTGAGCAAAATGAAGGGGCCCCAGCAGATCGGTGCCGAAACATACCGTAACGCCGGCGTCGGTTGCGATCTTGATGGCATGGAGGCCTTTCTGGAGGACTTCGTCGTTCTTTGCCGCCGAGATGGGTGGGAGGAAGTTGAGCTGCTTTGACATGACGTGTGTAATCAGCGTCGGCGTGAGGAATGTGCCCGCTTCAGCCATCAGTTTGGCTGTCTCTTCGTCAATGAGGTTGCCATGCTCAATGCCTCTCACTCCTTGCCGAATGGCTTGTTGAATAGCTTGAGGCGTGTAGCTATGGCTAGTGACGTAGGTTCCGTTGTTTTTTGCTGCAGTAACAATCGCCTTTATCTCTTCATCGGAGAATTGAAGGTTCTCAACCTTGTCCGTAGCACTGGCAATGCCTCCGCCACCCATGATCTTTATAAAATCTGCCCCTTGGCGCAGCTCATCGCGCGCAACTCTGAAGCACTCGGATGGTCCGTCAACAATACGGCTGATTCCAGAGACAGCACCGCAAGAACAAGGACTTTGGTCATGCGAAGATCGCATGTCGCCATGACCGCCGGTCTGAGAGAGCGCGTATCCGGCAATGAAGAGTCGAGGACCAACACAGATTCCTTCCTCAACGGCTTCCTTCATAGCCAAGGTCGCACCACCACAATCACGAACGGATGTGAATCCCCGTTCAATCATCGGTTTGAGGACCCAGGGCTGTCGGATAAGACTGATTCTCTCAGTCATGGACTGGTACGCGCTGAGATTCGCCTCTCCAGGAACAACAGCAATGTGAACGTGGCAATCGATGAGTCCCGGGCATATATGCTTGCCATTGAGATCGACGACAATTTCTCCATCAGCGGCGGTAGGAGAAGTACTGCTGGTTGTGTCGACTGACACGATTTTGCCACCGACTGTCTTGATTGTAACATTTTCGACTACTTTTGCTTGTTCAGGATCGACCAGCTTTGCGTTGGTAAAAATATATGTCGGCTGAGCATCCAGCTTCCAAGGTTTGATAATCTTTGCCATATCCATGTTTGCCATGTTTCCAAACGAATAGTTGCAAAAGACAGACTTTCTCACTAGAAATGATGTGGGGTAAGGATTGAGTTGTCTAGTTTACAAGATATAGTTGCTAACGGGAGGAGTTTTCCTACACCTTATATAGTTGTCGGTAAACTCTAACGGCTAAACACAGTCGTCATCTTGAATGAGTTTGGGCTGAAAGCTCTCCGCATTCCTATTACCTTTTTTAGACCCGGCCGGTTAGAAGACGCCCCATTACTGTACAATACTTAATTCCTATTCATCCTATTTTGCATATCATCCGAGGTTGTCAATTGAATCCTTTATTATCAAAATGGTTAGTTGTCTGTCATCAACCGAGGCTTCGATATTTAACTCCATGGCTCATGATGTAGGTGTTGAACGGCCTGCAAGGTTGCGCCGCAAAAGCCCGTTTAGTTCCCGTGGGCGGAGTCGGGGAGATGTTATATTCTCCATGTCCGGTCGTACGGCTTGTAAATGCCATTTCCGCTCAGCATAGACCAGGAAGGCGTAAAAGATTATTATTTGTGGTTTCGACAAATAATCGCAGGTTGAGTAGAGACTATAAGCATATAATAAAGATACCTGTAGGAAGATGGTGCGATTTCAGGAATCTGGGGTGCTTACGCACCAGCAACTTATACGGACATTCAGCTGCATCGTATGACATTAGCGTGGAAGGAGTCGCTAGCCCTCTTCTATACAATCTTTACTATTGCCAAGGGTGTTTAAAGTCCTCGGGTAGCAGTTCGGAGAGATTGTAATATATACCGAGGAGATTGCGACCCTGAATGCATTTCAGGATCACCAGACAAACCAAAGACGCCCGGTTTCAGTGGTCCTGCGATACCTGCATTTAGCAATAGCTAATCGAATGATCTGCAATAGTTCTAGCACGTGGATATTCACAAGAATAGAAGTAGATTTTTTTCTTCAAGTTTAAACGAGAGAAACATGGCGGTGACATCCGAACATTTTCTTGTACAAGTTCTATCTACAAATCATCTCTACTAGCTACATCTTTAAAAGTATCAGTTGTAAATCACCACTTGTTGTCCATCACCTTACCATCCACAACATTGATCAAATCCCTCACAGGCCCCAGCTTCGCCCCCACCCCAAACTGCATCGCCGTATACATAAGCTGCCGATAGTTATCACCAGGGGATACTTTGCCGAGAATCTGTTCTTTTCTTGTTTCAACCCGGTCTGGCACTGGAACCGGTCGACCGACGATTGCATCCATGCCCTGCCAGGCAAAAGTGATGGCCTCCTTTGCACCAGCCGGGATCCCAGCTGCATCAAGCATGTATATCCTTGTCGCGGGATAGCTTTTCTGAATAAAGTCCACAATGTTGGGGTTGTATGCGCCGCCGCCGCAGAGAAATATCTCATCGATGTCCTGTGACGGCGCGAAACACTTGTAGTGGTCCACTATAGACTGGGCTGTGATTCTCGTGATGGTTGCAACCACGTCATCTGGCGAGAGACCCTTTTCTTCAGCTTTGGAAATTATCTCCAGTGCCAAGGTATCGCGGAAATCTTCGCGACCTGTTGTTTTGGGAATGGATCTCTGAAAGTATGGGTGAGAGGAGATGAACTCGTCCACAATCCCCTCATCCACTTTCCCTCGCTTGCCCATTTCGCCATCCTTGTCATATTCCCGTGCTCCACCAGTGTAATGGCGAACAGCAGCATCGATGTAGACGTTTCCAGGACCAGTGTCAAAGTCAAAGAATCCGTCATTCAACTCTCCTTTAGCATCTGGAGGAATGAAACATACGTTGGCAATGCCCCCGATGTTCTGACAGGCTCTGAGCTTGGTAGGATGGTGCAGAAGCAAGGCATCGAAGAAAGCAACAAGGGGAGCTCCCTGACGACCAACGGCAACCTCGCTGACGCGAAAATCGGTCACGGTAGTAATTCCAGTACGAGCTGCGATAATGGCCCCTTCGCCCATGCTGAGCGTTGTCCGGACTTGGTCCTTTGGATGAGGGATATGCCAAATTGTTTGGCCGTGAGATCCAATAATGTCTATTGAAGACTTGTCGATGTTATTCGTCTTGATGAATTCCAACGCCGCTTTGGCAAACGTCTCTCCCAAAATAACATTAATCTCTGCAATTTCCTCTGGTGAAGTAGAGTTGTGAAGAATCATATTCATCACCCGCTTCTTAATTTCTGGGTCAAGTGGTGTTTCTCCATACTTGAGCAACTCCAAGCTGACAGGCTGTGTTGGGTCTTCTTGTCTAAATCGACATAAAACACAGTCTACGCCATCCTACAGATGATGCCATCAGCTTCTCACTCGACATATATGTGTATGCGGGGTGTAAGGCAGTATACCATAGATGTTCCGCTGTTCATACCAAGGACTGTCAAGTCCAAAGCCGGGCCGGCTGTAGCAGTATCTACGATAGAGCCCATCTTGATACCTGTATGGTCTGGACCTCAAAAGAGGCACTGTCGTACGCTATCAAAAGACCATTATCGCAAAATCACACGATGAGGCTAAATAGATATATGGCTTGTATGTAAAATTAATAGCGTCGTGTGGCGCTCGTACGCTTCGTCTAAACGGCAAAAGAACATTTTGGAAAACTGCCTTTCAGCCGCTGCCAATGCCACAAGTGTCGAATCTCTGGATGAGCTAGCAATTGGTCTTGCAAAGTGTCAATAGTCTTAGGAACCGGCTGTCTGGTGGCTATAGCTAGTGCTGATTACGGCCGAGGCTCCTATCAACCCGTAACGTAACCTCACCGAAGCTCAGGCTCTCGCCGATACTCGCTCCATATAAGCCGTCTAATATGCGGGGCCCCGAGATTTAGGATCCATGGATATCGCCTCCGCACGAACCAGTCTCCTAGTGTATTCATGTGTGGGATTGACAAGTGAAGATGAACTAGAATGAACGAAAGTCGGACGCCTTTCTTTATAGCTTATCTCACTAAATCCTGGTTAGTTACATACCGCCAGAGATACGAGACTGTTGATAGGGTAAAAGGAAGATGACCGGTCAGTTTCCGGAAATCGGGCATCCAACACCACGTCTGAAGACATATTTAATATGGATCACGCCAACCCCAACCTTGTCAGAAAAGATTTCTCAGTTTTGCTCGGCTAGACAACCATCACCACTGAGCCAGATTCTGCATTACTGAGCCCCTTATCTTTACATTGCAATCATGGCGAAAGATGAAGACGTGATTGAGGTAGGAAGAGATGTTGAGAGGGAGTATCCGCAAGATGAGAAGCCCGATCTCTCAGGCGGGGCTGAAGAGGTGGTTGGAATGCAAGAGCTTGATCCAGCTTTGGACCGAAAAATGCACTTGGTGAACAACGTAAGTCGTGTGACACGGAGATGTTTGTCATTTATGAAGGCTAATTGGAGTAGGCACTGGATCAGATTGGCTGGACCAACTATCACCTCAAACTCTTCTTCCTCAACGGCTTTGGGTGAGTTACATAACATATACAGCTCCCATATACTTCAGCTACTTACATTCCTCTCTCCAAAGATACGGTGTAGATGCCCTCCAACTATCTCTTCAGGGCATCATTGCTGTCCAGGCTGTGCTCGAATTCCAGCCGTCATATGACAAGGGCTTGACCATCGCTCTGTACATGGGAATGCTTGTGGGCGCCCTGTTCTGGGGTTTTTTTGCCGACATCATCGGCCGTAAAATCGCTTTCAACATCTCACTCTTTATCTGCTCAGTTTTCACAATCGCTGCAGGTGGAGCTCCCAACTGGGCTGGACTCGGTGTTCTGATTGCCGTCGCCGCTTTTGGAGCTGGTGGAAATCTTATCCTGGATACCGCCGTCTTTCTCGAATATCTTCCTTCAAACAAGCAATGGCTTCTCAGCTTGCTGCCTGCTTGGTTCGGTATAGGATGCACCATTGCTGGACTTGTTGCTTGGGGATTTATGCGTGAGTCACTTTATATCTTGATACTGTTTCTATACCGTTGGATCAATAGCGCTGACGACGATGACACGATAGCGAACTTCTCATGTGCCGATGCGAGTGACTGTACTCGAGCAAACAACAGCGGCTGGAGATATCTCATGTACACCATGGGAGCCTTTATCGCAGTCCTGGCCGTGGCTCGAGTAACAGTCATCCGTCTCCAAGAAACTCCCAAGTTCCTCTTGGGCCAAGGCAGAGATGAGGAAGTTGTCCAAAACCTTCAAGCGATCGCCAAGAAGTACAATCGCCCTTGCCACCTCACAATTGAGCACCTGGAAGCTTGTGGAACTGTTAAAACGGCACACTCGAAGAATCGCTTCTCCTTTGGCGAGTTCCTGATCCATCTGCGCAGCTTGTTTCTCACAAAGAAGATGGGTTTCACGACAATTCTTCTGTGGCTCTCTTGGTCCAGCATTGGACTTGCTTACCCTCTATTCAATGTCTTCCTACCATACTACCTGGCTAGCCGAGGCGTGCAATTTGGAGTAACAAGCACCAATGTGACTTGGAGAAACTATGCCCTGGTTCAAATTTGTGGGATATTTGGACCCATTCTGGGTGCTGTCATGTCCAACTGGAGGCCTCTTGGAAGAAAATACACCATGGTTATCGGCGCGTTGATCACTATGGTGAGTTGATGAATATTATCTTTGCTGACCTTTTTAAGATTGGACTAACAGTTTCGTATTACGATAGGCCTTCTTTTTTGCATACTCCCAAGTCAAGTCGCAAGTAGAGAATCTTGCTTACAGCTGCATCATCTCATTCACTCTGGAGATCTACTACGGCGTCCTCTACGGATACACTGCCGAGTCTCTGCTCTCTGCCCATCGTGGTACAGCCAACGGTATTGCCGTTGCTTTCTGTCGATTAGCTGGAGCTTTTTCGGCTGTCGTGGCTACGTATGTCTCTGTTTGTTCTTTACTTGTACGAATCTTGGATCGCTAACACTATGCAACAGATATGCCGATCCATCAACAACGGGCCCAGTGTTTGTATGCGCTGCTCTCTACGGAGGACTCGCTTTGTTTGCAGTCTTGTTCCCATTTGAACCTTATGGCAAGCGAGCTGCTTAAATTGATACAAGTTTGCATTGACGATGGGACCACTCTATGATATTATCGCAAACTCATCCCAAAACAAAATTGTCACTATTTAAAAATGCTTTAGTTGGGTTAATAAACATAATGATTTGAATACTATTAATATGCACCGGAATTTCTTCTCAGCCACAATTCAGATGTCTTTTGATGCATGGCGAAACTGATGAGCATACAGTAGCTGATGATCGGTTGGGCTCTCTCATTGTGGTGACATGAAGAGAGGCTTTTATCACTCATATGGCTGCATAAAGGTGTTGTTGAGGACTGCCTGAGCGAAATCGGGTATATGAGTGCTGTGACACCATGGCTTAAGCGATTCTTCGCGCTCAATCGTTCCCGCAAAGCATCCAAGCCAATGCTGGCGAGGGAATGCTCGAATAACATCTTGAAGCGTGTCGATATGGATAAGCTCCGTAATATTCTTTAGATATGGGTGGTCGCTGACGTTGTCGTAAATTGTAGCCAATTGTATGACTTGGCCTAAGAAAGTAATATTACCCGCAGTGCCAAGGTCCTGGTGCCGGATAATTGTCTCAGCAACTGCTTCAGCCTGGTCCTTTGATGCGCCGAGTGCTAAGAGGAGACTAAGAGCTTTGTAACCCCCGTAAAACTCAAACGACATGTGAGTACTAGATAGATTGTCATCAGTTGTGCCGATGTCGTGTAAAAGAGAAGCTAAAGCAAGAGTTGAAAAGTTGAAAGTCTCCGACTCTTTTGGAAACTGCTGCATGACAATAGCAGATGCTAAATCCAGCTCCATTAGCTATAGTTATATATAAGACCTCACACACGACAAAACATTGGAGGTTAAAGCTCTAGACGGAATATTTAACTTACCAAAATAGAATACCCTCATAGAGTGATTGAAAGTTTGCATAGGTAGCATTTCCTTTGCATACTTTTGAACTTCGACAGCAATGGGGTCCTCAGGAAACTTGATGTCATCCACGAGAATGGGTCCAGGGATGTTTCTGAATGGTTTGCCACCCCATAATTGACTTGGGTCTAATGGTAAAGAAGACCAGCCATTTTGTGCTATATCTATAGTCGGCGGAACGCGAATCGTCGTCAACACTTCGGGTACGATGGCAATATTGGTGGCAAGCGGAGCCACGATGGAGAAAGACAAAGACGTATAAGATGAGAGGGCCGACATGCTAACATAGACGGTGGTTAGAAACGGGTTGAATTAATGACTTCAATATATACTGACATGTATAGGTAGATGGAACAATAACAACCTATAACTCCAGAGTCAAGATAGAGTCAATAATTGAGATTGTTGGTTGAGAAAGAGGCAGTATTTGTTGCGAAATTTTTATATAATTGGAGAATTGGTTGAGACGTGATAGTTGATAGGAATACTTATGAGCTCTGGATTAAATACTGTGTTGAAAAACCAGAGCTGCAGTGCCTTAAGTATCTAATTGCTGAAGGTATGAATGCTGGAATGACGGCCTGAATCGCTCTCGCTTTCCTAACTGGGTTGATTGAGTTGACAACAAGGATACGTTCTTCGTAATGTACATCATTAGCAGTCATACTTTAGTGCTTACGAAAAGTACTTAATCGGCTGAGGATATTGGAAGTTTACATATCTGTAGTTTCAGCAAATATTTGCTACTCTACGTCTCTTGCATTATAGTAGAGATTGCTGAATGTAATTATATAGGAACTGGTATTAGGACAGTTGAGAATAATGAAGAATTTTAATCTACGGCATTGGTATAGAAATAGATTTCAAAATTGTAATTGTTATTTAGTGAGAACAATATTAGATCAGGATGCAAATAATAATATGATATTGTTTGGTAAAACAACTATACTCCTCCGCCACGTATACTCATCTAGAAAGCAACTTGGGGGGTAGACGATCCATCTAGCTCGAGCGCATTCACTAAGCCACGAATGATGTAACGGTACAAACTGATGTGAGTTCTGTAGGCTGACCTTTTCTCTTTCTTTACAAGGGTATCCGGAAAGAAAACATATGCGAGGACGTCTATCCGAACTTCTTTCCACGCTCCACAGCAATGGCCATGTACAAAGCAAGGCAGCTATGCGTGTGTAGAAAAAGGTGTGTCATGTTACAGAAGAGTTCAATCGTATTATACCAAAATTTAATTTATACCAGCAATACCGGCGATTACCAATTAATAGCTATATCATAAGTACGTAGATATAATAAAGTGTCAATATAGTAGCTCTTTTTTGTAAATAACCCGTCTGAGCGCTCGAGGCAGAGAGCCATGCGTATCCCGCCTTTTCCTGCGCCTCTTCACAGTGATTATAAAACAATTACGCATATCTACATGCATTTAAGCAAACAAATAGCAGTGAAAAGGATTCTTTATTACTATTACATGCACATTATTTACCTATTTAGGTAAATTATTCCTAAAGTTATATTTTTACAAGCTGCTTGTTAGGGAAATAATGTCCATAGCTCTGGTAGTTGAGGCCGCTCCACAACTTGTATATTTTCGAAGGCTCTTTTCGGTAATAAACGTGAATACGAATACGCTTCGCTATGCACAACCAGCAGTCAAATATGGAGAGTAAAATACGAGCGAAATATGGATGCGGTATTGTGACAAGCCGGGCTCCTATTTGATGGTAGATAATACTGCACTGCCTGTATCTCCCTTACATGTACTCAGCCAATACTCGTGTATGCCGTCGCGCTGAGTACAATGAGTCGGGCAATGTCTCAGCTTGTGAGAGGCAGCGATTGGTTGAGCGTTTTCGTCTGCCTGCTTGTGCTGCCGCTTGTGGAGAATAATAGAGCACATGTGATACAGTAACATGAAGTGATGGCATGAAGTAAAGATGCTCAGTACAGTCGGTGAATGTGCGATATTTCAGCGCATCTCATGATTTCCAACTCATTGAGACATCGGGTTATCTTCATCTAGTCTCATCTCATCTCATCTCATCTCATCAATCTCTGGTACTTCTAGGTACGGACGTGTTCCTGCTCGGCCCCTGCCTTAGCCGCCGCCTAGCTGCAGGGGGCTTCCCCCAAGCTTTAGTGCCGTGTGACCACTAAAAGCTCCCCCCGGAATGGCCCGCTTAGGCCTACAGCAAGCTGCGCCGCTGACCGCCCAGCAAAATGACGTGCGGCCGCATACCAGCAAGCTGAGCTGAATTATGCTCCAGGTTTATCTCTTGCTTATCTGTGTACGGAGTATTCCGCGCTCGTGACTCTTCTGTCGAGCTTCCATCATCTCTCGTCCTCCCCCCTTTCTCCCCCCTTAACTTCATCTCCTCTCAACATCTCCATCATCACGCCAGAAACCATCACAATGGCTGTTCTAAGCAAATTGGCCCTCGCAGCCTCGCTCGCCCTCTGCGGCGTCTCGGCAGCTGGAATCCCGCAGCAGCAGCACCCGCTCACAGCTCCCTCCTCGTCTTCGTCTTCGTCTTCGCACTCTTCGTCACATGAGACAGCCAGCGACTACAGCTCCCTGCCGCTCATCGACACCGAAGCTCTGCAAGATTCCATCTCCGTCGATGCTCTCTTTAAGCGCGCCGAGAAATTCTATAAATTCGCCCAGACCTCGGAGGAGGATTACGGCCATCCCACTCGAGTCATCGGCAGCACCGGTCAGTCTACATGTATCAAACAAGGCCATCACCGCCATCGTGACTAACCATTTGCACATTTCAGGCCACGAGAGGACCCTCAACTACATCGTCAATACTCTGCTCGATCAAGGCGACTACTATAGTATCTCTACTCAGGAATTCCCCGTCACGCTGTCCAACGTCTTCGAGTCTCAGCTGGTTTTGGGCAACGATGTATCCAAGTCTGCGGTTCCCATGGGGCTGACGCCCGCGACCAAGGACAGGGAGCCTGTTCATGGTCACCTGGTGCTTGTCAAGAACAACGGCTGCGATGCTTCCGACTACCCACAGAACGTCAAGGGTAACATTGCCTTCATCCGCCGAGGAGAGTGCGCCTTTGGCGACAAGTCCATCGGCGCTGGAAAGGCTGGCGCCAAGGCTGCTGTCATCTACAACACTGAGCCAGAGGAGCTCCATGGAACTCTTGGAGAGCCAACCGAGTATCACGTCGCCACCTTTGGCATCGACGGTACCGAGGGCAAGAAGGTTGCCGATGAGCTTGCTTCTGGAGAGTCTGTGAGCGCCATTGCATACATTGACGCCGAGGTCAAGAAGATCCAGACAGTCAACGTCTTGGCGCAAACAGATCAAGGTGACCAGGACAACTGCGTCATGCTTGGCGGTCACAGTGACGGTGTCGCCGAAGGACCTGGCATCAACGACGATGGCTCTGGCAGCATGTCTGTTCTCGAAGTTGCCGTCCAGCTTACCAAGTTCAAGGTGAACAACTGTGTTCGCTTCGCTTGGTGGGCTGCCGAAGAGGAAGGCCTTTTGGGATCCGACTTTTACGCCGCGAGCCTGTCTGAGGAGGAGAACCAGAAGATTCGTCTCTTTATGGACTATGACATGAGTAAGTGTGCCCATGGTGGCGCAGGGATGGAAGCAAATTTACTGACAGTTTTGTGTAGTGGCCAGCCCCAACTTTGCTTACCAGATTTACAATGCCACCAACGCAGAGAGTCCCGCCGGCTCTGAGGAGTTGCGAAACCTCTATGTCGACTGGTACAAGTCCAAGGGCCTCAACTACACATTCAGTATGTCTTATGATCGTATCCCTCTTTTCCCCTGTTCTGAAACACCGGCTGACCAATATTTAGTCCCATTCGACGGCCGTAGCGATTATGATGGCTTCATCCGCGCCGGAATCCCTGCTGGTGGAATCGCCACTGGTGCCGAGGCTGTCAAGACAAAGGAGGAGGCTGAGATGTTTGGCGGACGTGCTGGGGAGTGGCTGGACCCATGCTACCACCAGCTGTGCGATGACCTGAACAACCTGAACCGCACTGCCTGGGAGGTCAACACCAAGGTAAGCTTCCACGTTGTTTGCCAGTGAATTTGGATGTGCATTCGCTAACCATGAGACGCAGCTAATTGCCCACTCTGTTGCCACATACGCCCTTTCATTCGATGGATTCCCCAAGCGTGAGCTGGACACCGAGATGAATGCATACGGTAAAACCATGAAATACCACGGCCCCAAGCTCATCTTGTAAGCTGTTGTGAATTTATTTGGCATGTACAATTGGGCGAGTTGCCGAAGAGGATAGACATTGGCACGGGGGATTTGGATACTGCATTTTGGGTGTTATATCAGACTAATGGGCATACGCATATCAGAGAATTAATTGAACACTATCTCTATAATCACTGTTGCATTCACTAATATTATTATGCCATGCCAACAAGTGATGTGCTGGACCAACACTGTTGGCCAAGTTCTCACAGCTACCCTCCCATCGTCTCTCTAACCACAGATACACATGATGATGCCACAAACACAATGCCCCATAGACATGTGCAAGCCTTTGTGATCGAAAGGCTATACGAGGTCACCATTACAATCCTCTACTAGATAGTACTTATGCTAAAGTTCGTTTAATCAATTATATGATGCGGAAATTACTGCGAGCCTGTAATTCCACCAAGTCGCAATGAAGTTGTCTCAACCATAAGAGGGTCACAGCCAGAGGACTGACGAACACCATCATCACCTGTATTAGTTTCAAGGAAGATTTGCTTTGACCAACTACACTGAATACAGAGAACAGGTTCGAATCTGCTAGAACTCTTGCTGTACGGATGCCTGACAAGTGGACCGGCTGGCCAAGAGTTGACAGCCGGCAAAGCATACGCCCAATACCTGGTATTTGGCAGAGGCTGCCAGCCGCAAGAGAGTATCTCTTGTCCTAGAGTCTTGATGTGTTCACTTGATGCCTGAAGTTGGCTCAGGAGTACCCGCTTAGAAGCAAACGAAGCTCAGTCACACATCCATCTCGAAGCTTTGCCCTCTCCCATTGCCATTACCCCAAATCTCCCCTTCTCTCCAGATATTCCCACGGACAGATCTCCTGGATGTCATTCTACCTTACCAATCTTAAAACAAGACTCAAGATCGCACTTCCAGCACCACGCTATTACGGCCGACATGACCGACGAAACATGGATGGGTTGCACCGTCCAACAAAAGAGTGATGGAGGGTGCATTATCCTATCCCCCGACTCTACTCCGTTGCTGGAGACAGAAGATGCGCCAAAGATGATGAGCAAAAAGGATGATCAAGGCAACGCAGTCGATTCAATTCGGGACGATGAGTTTGCTAAATTCAAGCTCCTAGCAAGATGTACATTCCTTTCAGATGGCTCCGATAACGAGAACAATACCGAAGCAAATCAACCAAGTTCGAAGAACCTGTCGCGGCTTGAGCAGGAATTGAAAGGAACCACTGTCAATGGGAAAACATACGTCTCTACTGCCTACCTGGGCTTCTCTGCAGAGATGAAAGGCGCCATATTTATGAGAAAAGAACTTTGGTCTACCCACAACTCGGATAACTATTCACAATTACCTTTGCCAAAATCTAAAAGAGGCAGAAGAAGCAATATCGAGGAATTGGTGTCCGGGCCAGTCCATGAACATGCACTTCGTTTCAATCTGAAGGGCGTATCGTTGAGATGCGGACTTTCTTCTTCTTCTCCCACAATCAAGCACCAAGACGTCATTCCGCATCATCTTGCCACAACTGAGGCCAATCTTGTGATGCTCAAGAGACTGGTTTCCGGTGAACCTTTGGAAACATTTCTTACTACGCCAGAGGACCGAAAAGCATATGATCTCTATGTTGAGAAATTGATTCAAGGGTTGAAGAGGGGAGCTGCGATCACCCCGTTCTCGTTCATAACGCCTCCTGTATTGTCTGATGTTCCTCCCGGATTGAATCATTCTGGTAGATTTCCGGCCGACGCAAAATCTCGAGGAGACGACAGTCACCACTTAGCCGAATTGACCTGTAACCCATATCTTGCAACGCAAAATGTCAGTCCTAAAGCGGCACCAGGCTTTGTATATGTTGCGGCCCTCGCCGACGCGTTTGAGTACCCTCCCGGGCTGATACAACTATTGAAAGAATTTGCACTCCAATACCCGAACGACTTCCTGCACCTTCGTCTCATGCTTCTGGCATGCCATCTTTGGTTTGACATTATAACCCATTCAGATCTGCGATTAGAGTGGTTCATGTCGGAAAGGAAGTATGGTGGTACGAGATTCAACGAGGTCCCTAAGGTATCCTTGGCGGCGTTTATTATCTATTTTGCTCATTGGCTTTCATGGACCGAGTCTATGGGTTTGTCTGAGCATCCACACCCATTTCGCTTTGTCTCCAAAGCCTGCGAATCAGACCAAGCCCGCTCGGGCTTTGCCGTGAATGAGGATCACATTCCCCAGGACAGAGTCATTGCGTTGGTGCGCAAGGTAACCTCTCGGATCCCAAACGTTAGCATTTATGAGCGAATCAGCCTCCACCCTTCCAGCGTACCAGGGACCAAAATGCCGCCCATGCATGACTCTTCTTTTTTGGAGTACCCGCATCGAATTCCTCTCGCGCTTACGGGATTGCCACATCTGGGATATCTGGGTTTGCCCAACTACACCCGGCTGAAGCTGGACAGTTAGGACCGTCCTCTGAAGAAGCTGGCCAAGCATCCAGAGGAGATACTTCGATCTCATTACCTTCCCTACTTTGTCAACTCGTCTCATTTTGGCAATCCTGGTACACGTTTACAGACTCCCAGCGATCTTTCCAAGGGGGTATTGACAACCTTTTCGCAAATCTCTCCCTTTTGGAAGCCGAATATCCCGAGAAGTGACTTGGAGCTATCGTGTAATCCCTCAGCTTCTCCAGTTCACTCCTCTCAATGGACTGACACAGGATCACAAGTGACTCAACCTCCACGAGAATCTCTTTTTTACGCGCCCTTACTGGAGTCTTGGTCCAAGGTCCCTCGACAAGCCCATTGGGCGTGGAAACACGGTCTCCAACTACTCAAAGACCTTCCAGAAGAAGAACGGCAAGATGGGACATTCAAGGAACTCATCTCTGCCGCTCAAACACAACACAACCAGGATATCAGTCTACTCAACGAGTGTCTCTCTTCTCTCTACACCCTCGAGGACCTGTCCGACTACGATTTGTACAATACTATCCCCACGGCCTTTGGAAGGTTTATTGGACTGCCACCCCCTCAAGACAGAGTGGTAGATGCGTGGGCCGAACACTTCTTGACGATCGACGAGCCCTCCCCTCAGGTTCGATGCATTTCCATGATTCTTGGCCATTTACGAAACGCAAAGGCCAACCCTTCGTCTATCCCGCATCTGCGACCTTTGGTTCAACGTACTGCCCAGCAATTGACGGGCATGTCAGATTCACTCGAGGCGCAAGACTGGCTTGGCAATCAGTGGGATTTCCTGTTTCCGCAATTCACTTCGACAAATAGCACTGCCGGCGACTGTCTCTAATTATATCCTCTGTTGTCATTTCTTGATTCTTTTGAATGGGCAGCCGCATGTTTGCTACTATATCTGTCTTGTTTTTCTTGCTTTGCTGCCCTTGGCGTCACAGAATCGCCATAGCTACAGGGACTTTGTACGATCAGGTGTCGGTGTCTTTTGCCCCCTGATTTCGAGAGGTCTTTCATTCATGCATCTCCTTGCCTCCTACTATCCTGTTGTCTTCGAGTCTTGTTTAGTCATGTCTTTCATCTGGCAGCTCAGATAATTAATTTACTTGTTTGTTTTCATCTGGAATCATCACTGTGCTTCGTAGGCCCCAGTCACTCATCTATACGAAGTCAAGTGCACAAACCACTTGCGCTGCGACGATTCACGGCACCACGCCAAACATCAAAATCACGACATCGCCCAAAAGACATCATTGTCCACCGACATTGTAATTTAGTAGCTACCCGTATGTACATGAACGAAAAAAAAGCCCTTTCTCATCAGGGCTACCTATTCTAATCACGAGATAAAAAATAATAAATGGCAATCAAATCTCCATTTGTCCCCTCGTTCGATATGCGCTTCCCCCATAGACGCCGTTCGCTTTATTTCCAAGAATGTATGGCTGAATAAAAAAAGAGTAATAAATGGACAAACTAAAGAGGCCATAGCTCACAAAAGATAATCTGTGTGCCTCGAATAAAAAAAAAAGATAAACAAGGGCGTCCTTATTGCCTTTCCCTGAAGTGATGATCCTCTATTGCGCGCGCGACATTATTCCTGGTGGTTTGCTATGTGCATGTAAAACAGTCTTCAACATTCACTGTATCTTCTCCCTGGTCGTGGTTGGCTGATACAAGCCAAAACACGTCTTCCAGGATAGTCATTTGAGCTTCTTCCGTCGAATGCGGTGCTTGAGCGGGTTCTTGAAGCTCATAATCTTCTTCTTCGTGCGCAACGGTTCGGCAGGCGTTGTGCTTGTCGGGGCAGCTTCGACAGCCGGAGGTTCGAGATCCACGGCGGTGGTATTAGGAGTGATGTTCATACCGGCGGTGCCTGGCGGAAGGGCGACGACGGGCTTGGAGAGGATGACACGCAGCATCTTGCTGGTGCCCTGCTGGCCTGGGTCAAGCTGCATGAGCTCGACGAGGTCATGGCTGACTCGCTGGGCAAAGTCAAATGTGTAAAATTCGTTATCACGAAGCTCGAGGGTCAAGACTGGGAGGGGAATCATGGACAGGACGGGAATATCGGCAAGGTTGTAGCCAGAAAAGATGGACCATAGTCGAGGCTGAGGAACGGTCTCAGTCTCAGCAGCCGTCTGTTGGCCGGAGGCTGCCGACGTTGATCCCTCGGATATGGACGAGGCTGAAGATGTGCGGTCCGCGGGTAGCCGCGGCGCATTCTGGGCGATGGGGGCGTAATTTGGAATCGCGCGTCGGGCCATGGACCGTGCGCCAAAGGTGTCTCGCAGGCGGCGCATGCGTAGCGCAATGTCGCTGTTGGAGGAGAGCAGCCGGGTCATTCGTCGCTCGAGGCCAAGCCTGCTATTCTGGGCATCCTGCTCGCCGGGACTGGGCAATTGGAATTCCCCGTGTTAGCCTGGGTTCAAGACAAGCACTCGCCGGGGGTGGTTATTGAGAGGTTGCTTACCACTTTAGGATAGTCATCATCATGTTCATAGTCAGATTGTGCCACCGTAATCTTGTGGACAGGCTGGTTAGTCTCTGGGAGTGTTCATTGCACGCGACAATGCGTGCGGCCAGCCCTTGGCACAGTTCGATGGGCTCGATGGCCTCTTGCAAGTCGGTGATTGCGAGGACGGTGTCCGTCAGCGTCGCGATCAGGTCGTCGGTGCTGATCCATGTCGCCCGATCGGGATACGGCAGCTGGCCGGCCTCGAGCAGCGAAAAATTCTTGTATAGGATGTGGACCGAGGAGCGACACTGCTTGACTTCTTGGAGCGCCTTGTTGAGAATCGCCGTGTCTCGGCCGGGACTGGTGTTCATCTCATAGAGCGAGTCGATGGTCTTGCCGCCAATGGCCAGCAGGCCAATAATGGCCGTGGTGACGCAGAGCTGCTCGAGGATCGGGACGGAGGTGGCCATGGTGATGTCTCGGTCCAATTCGTGACGCTGCAGGGAGAGAGAGAGGATCTGGAGAATGCTCGACGGCGCAGAGGGCAGTCGTCAGTCTGTGGCGCGGGTGGCTCGAGATGATGGCGTCAATCTCGATATGCGACAAGTTCCAAGCTGCCAAGCCGCGGAGTGCAGGGTCCAGTCCTTTCGCTTGGCTTGGCTTGGCTTGGAGATTTAGATTTCGGTTCGCGATGAGGATGTGCGATTCAAAAGAATGGGGCGCTGTCCTCGACACGATGGCAGCCTCAAGCCATGATCATGCCCCGGTGCGAACGACTCTTGTTGTTTGTCTTGAGGAGGAGGAGAGGGAGCAGCGAGGTATGCGCAGTTGTTGAAATTTTGGTTGAATTTTTCTGCTGCTGATCGGTTTCGGATTCGGATTTGGAGGGCAGGAGCTTCGAATCGCGAGTCGTGGCAAAAAGCGACGGTTACGAGGGCAGCAGCAGCGGCGGCCGGAGGGCAGAAATAGAGAGCGCTTGACTTGAGTCAGAACGGACGAAATGCTTGCTGGCTGGATGGTCAGGGAGGACTCTGGGAGAGAGAGAGATGAGAGAAGAGAATGATGGACGATGGAGGAGAGAAAGAAGAAGAGAGAGAGACAACCGACTCCGGCCGGGACACAGACGCAGACACACGCGGCGAGACAGCGAGAGACAGTTTCTGAACCATTTGGGCCATCTCGGATGCCCTTGTTCCCCGCCTTGCAAAACCTCCTGTCGAGTGTTGGTTCACGGAAAATCGGCATCCAAGCATCTGGCATCTGCGTGAGCGACGGTCGCCTTGCGGGCCCTTCCGGCCGTATCATCCGAGTAGGCCCAGCGAAGCGCCAATGGCAGCGCAGTGGCCGAACGGGGGGCTGCGGCTTTGCTTTTTGGGGGGGTGCCAAGGTGTGTGCCGCCATCAAATCGTCGAATTTCCAGGCGCTTCAACCCCCATAGCTGTGAGGCATGGTCCCCCCCCCAAAGAGCCCAAAGAGCCCCCCAAAAAGGCGCTCGGCGAGAATGTTGCCGATGAAGCGCGTTCAAGTCCCATGCACCGGGATGGGATGCATTTTTTTGATGTGACGGCACCGTGCGAGACATGCACTGTCTGCTATTTGATTTGATCAACAAGCTCGATGGATTCCATTTCTTTGCTCTCGACAGAACAGGCCAGCTGCATCGTTAGCCTGCCCGTTGTATTGTATTTGCCGTTATTCCGACTCGTCAGATAACATTGATGGATGCATCATCTCGCTACTCTGAATCTCTGCCAGTATTATGATTCCCATCTCCATCCCCGGCACTTTGTATCTCAATAATTCACCGAGGCCGGCACTGCTGCGACGACGCTTCCATTCACCAATACTGATGCTTGAATATCACCACCTGGGCATCAATCACATCAAGTGTCATGTCACGGAGTATTGGTGATGCAATCCATCGCAACACGAGGCGTGCGCACTCGCACTGTATTCTTTGAAACGCCCAGCACCTGCAACAATCCAGCTTCTAGGGGCTGGTCCCGGCTGGTAGGTGCCGAGCGAGCTCCGCTGTGGGCGCCCAGGATGCCGCTAGCGGGCCATAGCAGCACACTCGACTGGCTCAGCCTGCAGCGCTCACGGCGATTCAGTTGGGCTTTGGCTGGTTGGATGGAGGCTTATGTGCTTTTTGGTCCTTGGTGTAAGAAATTGATCAAATGCGTCAACGTCAGCCGCCAACGAAAAAAACTCAGTTCTTGCGCATGGGGGGTCCCAAACGAGCTTGAAGCGCCTTCTAGCCTCTCTCTGTATTTGCTCTAGCGCCAGTTGCTGGGAATATCGGCGACGCGCTTGCTAAAACCCGCCGCAGAAATAGTTGAGTGATACAGTCATCATGGGTTGGTCAAGTAACTCGTGCTAATAGGATACGTGGAAGCTCATGGTACAGGTACTAATTCCAACAGAGCCTCCAAGCTTCCAAGCTGTAGGTAGTGTATCTATCGTCTTCTCCTCTATTATCATCGATAGTAGAAATACGTGGCATAAAAAACATATATCAAGGTAATGATGCTTATATCTAATAGATGTTGATGCGAGGGTAAAACGAGTGCTACTCTATTGATTCTATACGAGCAAAAGGAGACTTGCAACTCAATGTCACCAGCTCTCCAGTAGCTCCCCCAAACTCCGCAAGTATGCACTACATGCAGCCACTAGAAACAGACACCGCAATTGCACCATCCCGCCTAACACGCCCTAGGTACTCCTACCTCGACCTCCATGGAAGCTGTACCCAAGTAACTGCCGGTGCAATGCAATGTCCGCTGCTCCCAACACCACACACTTGATCCATCCAATATCAGAAACATCACAACAATGCCCAAGACAACCAGCCCTCCACGTCCCTGCATATATCGGCACAGAACTCCCCCAAGCCTTTCCCATTTCTATTCTAGCCTGCCTGCCGTCTCCGTCATCCCATCACAAATCACAAACCACAGTCCATCCCATTGTCCGTCTCGTTATCAGCACAAAGGCCTGAACCACCACGGCTCGCCATCACTTCGTCCACTCGGCCGAATCGCAAACGCAAGTCTCATCCCCATGCATGATTCATCGCGTTCGAGGGATCATGCGCGTACTCCGAGATATACTGCTCCCTCTTTTCTAACAGCCGCATGAAGTGCTCGTTGAATAGCACCAGCAGCTCCCGTTCCATCTCGTCCATTCCCATCGCCATGTTTTGTTTCTCCAAGCGCTCCATCATGTGATTCATCAGCCTCTGGAAATCCGAATCTATCACACCGCGGGACGGCAGGCCGTGCCGTCCGTGGTCCACATCGAATATCCACCAGCGGCGCGCCTCGCAGCGGACGCACATGGACGGCAGCTCCTTGTGTGGGCGTTCTGATTTTGTCGGGGGAAGTTCCCCCAAGTCATCGTTATCCTTGGGAATGGCGACCCAGCGCGCTTGAGCTTCGCACTCCTGACACTCCATACTTTCTCGACACGCGGGACATGTACGCTGTTGACGGAACCACTCCGTCAAACATTGGCGGCAAAAGATGTGTCCGCAACCTATCACCACGCCTTCCTTCTGTCGAAGCACCTTCTTGCTTGGCTCGACGCCTCGCACAGGCAGTTCGTCACGACAGATGGGACATCTTACTTGAATCCGAGCAAGGCCAGCTTCATGTCCTCCATTATTGATATACTCACGCACGGTTGGCCAGTACCAGGTTCCATTATCCTCAGCCCTAGCCGGAGATAGTTCCTGCAATGTCGTTTTCGTTGGCGATGTCGTTCGGCTTGTTATGCTGCTCCGTGAACTAAGGGTGGGCGATATTGAGGCATTACTGCTGCTGCTGCTGCTGCTTACAATGAAATGCCTTGCTGATAGGCGTGGCGAAGCGCTTTGCTGAGAGACAGATCTTATTCGACGAGCCGAAGAAGCCACGGATATTCTTATTCTGCGTGGCCTGCTTGGCTCTGGTTGATCGGATGGCATATTGTCGTGCTCGATTTCTCTGTTAATCTACCTCTTCATCGCTAACGCCAAATCATCAGACCCATCCTCCTATATATGTACGTATTCGCTGTCTTTGATGAAACATGATTCAAAGAGAAACTCCTCTCTTTACTCTGCTTAGTTCTGCTCTGCTCTGCTTTACTTTGCTTTATGTGGTTTTCTTGAAAGGGAGCGTCGATGTTGAAGAATGATGGATAAAGAGACAACAACGCCTTTGTCTATTGCTTTGGCACTCCCAACAAGCAGCATTGAGCTTTCTCTCATTTGTTCACTACTTCTCCCCTCCGCTTTGAGCACTCTGAAGAGCTAACAAATTTCTTTGATCAACAGAAATTCGTCGCTGTCTTCTTCTCAAAGGGGCGTCAGCCTTACAAATTTAAAGTTTTGTCCCAGGCCAAGAGATCACATGTGGCTAGCAGCCCGTCCCTGCAGTTTGCCAAGAACGCACCGATCCTAGTCGGCGCCAAGTCTTTGTTATACAGATGGGCCAATGATGCTCCTCGGCCGCAGGTGATCCCAGGGAGCCAAGTCTCCGGCTTTGGTGCTTGCCAGTAGCCTGTAAGAAATGAACATTTCACTCGGTGCGGTGGAGCAAGATCCTGTCGGCAGCCTCGGGGGTGTACATATCGCCCACGGCTGAACAGATACGAGATGCTCTGATGCGCTAAAAGAAGATGGATTCATGCAGGTACAGCTCTGCAGAGCTCTGTCCTCGTGGCTGGAATCTGGGGTATCGTATTGGCTGGATTGTTGGACAGTGCAAATTGTTCAATGTATCATCAAATCCGAGCAATTCCTGGGCAATGGTCGCGGGATTGATTGCTGCTGCAATCTAAACTATGGGCGGCCATACATCCCAACAGTGGTATCATTATCAGCTGTGTTGCTTTTGCCAAGCCTCGGGTATACGAGGAGTACTCGCATCCGAATATGCTGATTAGGCGCACGTAGTTGCCATCCAGGCGATGTCCCGACAAGAACGCTGGAGAGACCCATTGTTTCTTTGAAGCATTTGACAAAACTCGGCGTAGGGGAATGATGCCTCTCTCGTAAAAGCTATGACATGACCCGATATATGTTTTGTTTGTTTGCAAATCACCTTATAGTAGTAACTGCAGGTCTTCCGTTTAATTCGGGCTTTACTCAACTGAGTGTCTGCCTTTCATTCTCGTAATTAAAAATTCAGTTTCTACTATGACCGAAGACTTTGATGCCGGACTTTCTCACACACCCACGGCTAAGGCAGTCTCCTGACTACATAGCGTCTCAACAGTCTACTTATGCAATTAAAGAGAACTCATTACAAAATCCAGTCATAAAGTCACCGCATCATCTCTTTGATGCTCACAAAAAATCGTCTTATACCTTTCCAGGCCAGCACGCATGTACATTCTCTTTCCTCCATACAGGATCATGGGCAAGGATAAGTTCCACCTCGTTCCCCTCCGCACGATGATTCTTCAAGAAAGTTTTTAGTCTTTCCAAAGATCTACGTGCCTCTTCAGTATCAGTGTGGATGCTCCTCAACCCACCATGACCGTCGTCGTACAATCCAATTTCTTTTTCGCCCGTCACCAACCGTCTGTCGTGACAGCAGTCTGCGGCGAGATAGACATATCTTCGCTCCCCAAGCCGAGCAAGCAGATTCACATGGCCGTAAATGTGGCCTGGTGTATCAACGACGTAGAGACTTCCGTCACCGAAGAAATCGAGGGCGTTGGGTAGATCGCCAAATGGCTTCCAAGCCCATGAAGCAGCGACTGCAGGAGGCTTAGCTTGGGTGTTTGACGGGAGTGGCGTATGTTTTGGCGCAAAGGGCTCGTTTCCATACACTCCCGTGCGTACGACGGGAGGGAACTCGACGGTGCGGAGAGCGGGTAGCTCGTCCTTGTTGAAGAAAATGGATGGATATGCCGGTCCAGCGCCGTTCTGGAAGAGATCCAGCGTTCCGGATCCCACAGCAAACGTTGCCGTGGGGAAGTCCGAGGGCGTGCCGGTGTGGTCCCAGTGGGCGTGGCTGATGATGATGTAGTCAATGTCCTTGGTTGGATCGAGGAGCACGCCGTTGCTTGCGCCGCCAGGAGCATCAGCGACTCCGTTGCGCAGGCTCTTGGCGCAATCAGTCTCGGTGATGAGCGGCCTCCAGATGTCGAGCTCATTTTGCTGAGCGGGCGTATAGTTTAGGTCGCGCTTGACGCCGAGGTCGAAGACGAGGTTGGTGACGCTGCCATCTGGAGATGCGTGGCGGATGAGGAATGAGAGAGATGGGACGAGATTCTTCTTTACTGGGTCTGCGTCGTTGACAAACATGTGTTCTGGGAGAGAGAGGTGGCCGGCATCCAGAGCTGAGAGGGTGACGAAGCCGGGAGGAGGTTTGGATAATGCCGTCGCCATGATTGGTGAATGTATGAAAGTAAGCTTATATTTAGTGCTAATTGGATGATTTCAAGATTACAAGATATTATAGGTATATCAAGTGAAAAATAATTGGAAGGTCAATCTTTATTGTATCGACCCTCCGGAACGCTTCGGTTCGTCTTTTACCCATTCTTCCCCTCACGCTCCCCCGCTTTGGTGCCTCGCGACATGCGTCTTGGCTCGAGAGTATGATGCCATCTTTAAAGGACAGCCCGATGCCTGCATGGCGCGCTTGACGGGATCGGGAAACATTAGACGATAAGGGATTTTGGGCTTTGCGTGAAATTTTGTATGTTTAGAGGGATGAGCAATCGCTAATTGTGGTGGTGTTGCTGCTGCGCCCTATGAGTGACTTGACATCTGTAGAGGACTACTGAGGTAAGTACAAAGTAATACGGGTTGGTGGTTATTCTGATGCTGCTTTTTTTGGTTGGTGTTTCTGGAATTGGATGATGCTGTTTATTTGCGTGCGATATATTCCGACTGAATGCTGTTGTTGGTGAAGGCGTGCAGAGCACATGGAGCCGTGTTGTTGTGCATGCGTACGTATTCATGCACTTGACTCTCTGCGACTGATAGTCAAGAGACTACACAGATTATCTGTTGTGACACTCGAATCACGCAATAACATTCTTGAGTTCAGCAATCAACATCAATTATCAATTGTCAGGCAGTGCTATTTTTTAACCAGATATGAAGACATTTTTTTGGTAGGTGCTCGTCTATCCCAACAGCAAAGCCCTGAGTAGCATCGCCATTCCATCAGAACATACCTAGTAGGCAACATACTTAAAACCTACCGACTAATATCAGGGAAATTGCTAGCTGCAGCCACGCAATATTCCGCTAATGGGGAGGAAAGGCTGAAAGAAGTCTCAGATGAGGACCTGATAGCAATGGAAGTGCAGGCCAGATGCAGCTTGTATACGATGCTGGGCATATAAAAAGAGAACAGTGAACCATGCATGATCATGACCACCACAAAGAATACTACTACGAGCTTCTCTCCTTTTTGTCTCTCTCTTTTTCTTCTTTGAACTTCTCTTGTTCTCTTTTTTTCTTCTTGTCATTTGTTCTTGCTCTGCTCTCGCCTTCTCTTCACCATGAAAAAAAAAAAAAAAAAACATCACCAACATCACCAGATATCATGCTACAAAACTGCAAAAATATTCCCGGCGCCCCCCAAGTACCCGGCTCCCACCGCGTAAGCAGCGGGAATACCCCGACAAAGGTGTCCGATCTCCTATCGTGGCTGCGTTCAAGCATCGCTGGAGGCGGCAGCTCTTGCAGAACTCTGCAACAGCCGGGGTTCGTACGAGGTGCCAGTGGACAAGAGCCAAGTTACGAGCCCCGAGACCGTTGAGAGAAACTACGCTGCTGTGGGCAATTTAAACGGGAAGGGAGTTCCGGGGGTGATAAGGCTATGCCGCGAATGGCATAGCGGGGGTATTATTTTTCCGAGAGGTACGTGTGCGGATGTACCTTTGCTCTGGGCGGCGGATGTACTTTTATGCGAAAGGGACGGAAATGGAATGGGATGGAATGAAATGGGAAAGAGGGGTAGGATGGATGAAGAGTGAAAAGGCATGAGAATACCTAGAAGATGAGCGACAAGACGAGAATGAATGAAGAGATGAAAGAAGGATGAAAGAGAGGAAGAAAGAAGAAGAAGGAGGGAGGGAGGGAGGAGAGGAGAATTAAAATGGGCGGCGACGGTGGCGCCCTTGTTAGGCTGTTAGGGCAACACAAGCCCCTGTGGAGCAAACTTGGTAAAACCTTGCAGGGGTGGAATGCGGCATGGAGACGGTTACAATGGAGATCCCTGTATGTTGGCACACAGTACTAGAAGACTTACAGTTTAGTCACGGTGCGTTTTGTATTTGGATCTAGATGGCTGAAGGGTTACTTGCACGCTGAAGGCTGGTGGTGTGTTTGGTGAATCGTCGTGGAACAGGACTTACACGAAATGCACTGCTACCGACAACGGGCAACAGCCTGCTAACCACAGCAATGAGATGCTAGAACTTGCAGAATCTGATGGATTAGTACTTGCATCGCGATCAATGTGTTCTGGTGAGGTATACGCCCCAAGGCAGAAGCATGTAAGCGATCCATCCATTCCTCAGGCCGCACCTCTCCAAGCCTCGGGTGAGGTTAAAAATGCTGTGAAGAAAAATGCACGGGACAAAAAATTGCACGAAACAAACGCAACTTCTTCTACTGCCTCAATTACATCACTTTGATGACTGCATGTATCCAGGCACTGCAATATGGCCTCTGCTACTTGCATGTCATAGGCATTGCAAATCGCAATCAGCACTCAAACACAGACATTATCAATACATGCACATATCTACATCCTTTATACAATCTTGGGTCATGGTCTGTTATCCATCCAGCTTTCGAGATATGTGGGCCTACAGATTCAGATGGGTTGACAGTTGCGTCGTGATCAAATGCCCGTTGTGACTGACATTCTCACCCCGAGCGTGGGAGACTGGAGGAGTTTAAGCGGTTCTACAGGGTTGCCTCTTCAAGCCTCAGGACAGGTTAAAAATGCTGTGAAGCAATGCCAACTCAGGTAGCTGGCAATCCCATAGCCTGCACGCCCATAGCCTTCTAGACGAGGCTGGCTTCAGAGCAGCTAGAAGTGTCCCTCCTCTTGTTTCTATGACATCGCGAAAGCCTCTGCAAGAAGTTGTCTATGCCAAAGAGAATATTGATAGCTATTCTCTCCACAACAGAAAAGCGAGGGAGCATCACCACTTTAAGTGGATGCGAGGAAAGGTAGTACATCAAGTAATAATGGATTTGTATGAATGATTTTTTGGCGAACATGGGACTCTAGCTACTAGGTACCTGTACCTTAGGTACATGTACATGCAGTCTAGTCTAGGTCACACGCAAACACGGCACATGTCAAGTACAGGACCTTCGCTGCTTCAATTAGTCGTCCTTTTGATGACTGACCACCGCAACATGCCCTGTTCTGCTTGTAAGTAACGGATAATGTACTATACCGAAAGAGTTTTGAGTCTTTGGGTCTCGTCTCTCGAGCTGCGTGCCAGCACTCTCATTAGGAGACATTGTAATTATGCAGTTACATATCATTTATACACTCTCAGGTCATTTCTTTACTCGTCAAAGGTGCACATCACCCTAATATACTATTACTTGATTGGCAATCTGATTGCGTATCATAAACGTCTCTCCTTATCTCATCATATATTTAGAGCCTATTGGGGTCAGGGAACGAATATGACAACTAAGAATACTCCAGGATACAGGCTGCTCGCCGGCATTGCTTTTCATTCTAGAGACACGAAGAGGAAGAATAGACACCCAATCACAGTTCACCCCTATGGCTGTACGTCTTATCTTACGGAACTGCCGCGTTTCACGATCTTTAAAATACGGCACATACGGATGTAAGATACTTGTTCTATTTGCTAACTAATTTTACGATAATTGAAGCGAAATTCATAAGCTTAAGGCTAGATGAGAACATAGATGAAGGTTGCGGTATACATAGCCCAAAGTAAATGCTAAGACATCAGAACTCGACGCTTTTGCATGTGCTAAAAAAAAAATTTTTGATGAGAAAATTGCAGTGAAGCGGGCATCTCCTCTATTTCGAAGAATAACACGAGGATCCTCGAAGGACATCACATGCTTCATAATCCAAGATATCGGAAATTGCATAGGGCATTGCTGGGCTCCTTCATACACGGCCCAACAGCCGAATGTTCGATGTTAAACTTCAAAGACGTATGAACGTTTGGACTAACAGCAACAGCTGCCTGCGCTTCAAACACTAAAGCTTGATACAGCTTGATGTCGCTTTAAAATCTCACAGAATCCCTCAAAATCTGCCTATGCCCTGCATTGCAAAGGCCAGTCTCATACAAATACGCGCAATGATGCAAGCCCATACTGAATTTTCCACCAAATCCTGCGCCCAAGCCACAATTGATGCGGCCAATACGTGTACAGGCGATATTGTACCCGAGGTGGGCCAACGACTTAGTAGCCAACATTGAATGAAGAGACTGTTGGTCGGGAATTTGAGAGCTGAGAACCCCTTTTAGGCAAGTCAATGTACTCGTACGCTCGCTACTAGGAGGACCCTTGATATCTAAGCTGTTTTCGATCTAAAATGGACTGCACTGCCAGCGATTCGCAAGCGTTGCGGCCCACTGGGGCGTTTTGCATGATATTGCGCGTCGTCCGTATAAACGATACGAGATGCGTAGACTTTCGGCTTACGACTTTTTGAATAAAAGATTCTGATCTCATTTCTATGACCGTCATTGAGATTGCTGCATCAACAGAATCAAGAGCGTCAAGCTTCTGACCTCGATGGCGGATGCATTAGCCCCAGCATAAAAGATCCTGTCAGCCACACTTGGCCTAGGCCGGCTTCGCGTGTCTCTGATTCTTCGAAGGATCAATGATCCCATTTGCGAGGCTGAGCTGGCGGTTTGCCGCGTGTTCCTAGTTTATTCTCACCAATGGCGGAGTTAGGGCGGCCCGCACAGGCTGTTAGTTCGGTTTGGCCCTTACGACAAGCGTAGGCAGACTATCACGGTTGTGCGTTGGTTGAATGACTAAGAATAGAAGGATATAGGATTTATTGTTAATGATTATACTTTTCAAGGATTCATGGCCATGATTTCCTGTGGCCAAAAGTCAGTCGGGATTGTTGTGAGGCATTCTCAAGACGAGGATATATATCAAGTATATGAAGCCTATTCAAACCTTTCATTAGGAACACGACAAATAGTTTGTTCTACTACTCTAAAGTTCTTTGCAGCTTGTCACACCGCATCTACCCCTAATCTCGCCAAGTCTCATGGCAACTCCAACGACTCACTTAGCTCCTACAAGCGCAACAAGCACCGCTGAGCCGACTTGTACAACTGCTGTTCCCGGCAAATATGGCGAAGTGCCCATCATCGCCTGCAACTCCAATTACAATGCAATCCCGGCGTTCATCCCGGCCGTGGTAGTGACCATCCTCTTCGGTGTGCTCACTTTGATTCACATCATCGAGGCGTTTATTTTCAAAAAGGTCAGTAACGCCATATTCCATATTCGACACTCTTCGTGAACATGATCTAACGTACATCATAGGGCTATGCCTGGGTCCTGATCATGGCTGCTGCTTGGGAGACAATAGCCTTCGCCTTCCATACCGTCGGAGCACACAACCAACAAAACGTTACCTTTGCCACAATTTGGCAAATCCTCTTCCTGCTATCTCCCCTTTGGGTCAATGCCTTTGTCTACATGACCTTTGCCCGCATGGTTCATGTATACATTCCTGACAGAAAAGTCTGGATTGTCAAGGCCTCCCAGGTATCAAAGCTCTTTGTCTTGGCAGATATCCTCTCTTTCATTGTGCAAGCCTCTGGTGGCGTCCTCGTCTCCCCTGGCGTATCTGCCTCGACGCAGGAAATAGGAATGCACATCTACGAGGGTGGTATCGGACTGCAAGAGGTTTTTATCCTCTGCTTTATAGGTCTCATGATTGCTTTCCACCGCCGCATCAATAAACTCAACAAGGAGCGGCCTCTGCAGCCGGAGGAAGTCAACCTGAACTCGGCCAATGGAGAAGACCGTCGCGAAATCGAGAGGCCAAGGGGTGCCCTGGCGCTGCTCTATGCTCTTTACGCTGTACTGGCGTTTATTACTGTACGTGTCTTGCCCGTCCAACTCAGTCAGGTCCCCACTAACGGAACATCCCCTTGTAGATGCGCATTATTTTCCGACTCGTCGAGTTCCTCGGCGGCCGCGATCCCGACACCAACCCCATCCCTTATCACGAATACTACTTTTACTCCCTCGACGCCTTCCCGATGTTGGCGGCCCTGCTCATCCTGGCCATAGTCCATCCCGGATGGTTCATCACAGGACCCAATAGCAGCCTTCGAGATGCCAAGAAAGAGGAGAAGAAGGTAAAGAAAGCAGAAAAGAAAGCTGTGAAGGAGCAGAAAAAGGCGGACAAGGAGGCCAAGAGGTTGGGAGCTTATGGACAAGTATGAGAATAGGCTTGTCCATGATTGCAGATTGGAGTTTTTGTCATGTTCTAATGAAAAGGATATTATAGGTATTTGCCAGCGTTCCGGAGGCTATTCCATTTGTCATTGATTTTGGTGTTCTTTGCTGTTTTGTTGCAAATTAAAGGGATGTTTATCACGGGGGCCATCGGATAGGGAGAGACGACGAAAGGCTTTCTCCATAATGGATAAACAAGAGAACTGTTTATACCATATATATTTAATACCTGCATAGATTAATCAAGAGTAATATCAGCTGAAAGTGTGTTTTTTTCTCTTAGTAAACGAGATTTATCCACGTACGGCTCTTGCGTGCCGAAAAGGGAAGATGCTGGCGGAGTGGGGCCGAAGCCGGTCCGCCTTGCCCACCTTCATCCGCTTTAGTCCGGAGCAGACACTCAAAGCCTTCCAGGATTTTTGTCCGTGGCCTCGGCATTAGGCAGTGCTTTCAGGGCATTTCTAAAGAGGTGCCCGTGCATGCTTTATGTGAGTCTTGTCGCTAATGCACGTAAATAGGGCTTAGATATTGAAGATGTAACCTCGATATATGCTCTCTAGTTGTGCATTTGAGCACTTGACCTTGCTCCTTCACGGCCAAGATTTGCCGTCCCAAGCTTTCAAAATCTTGCTTTATGTAATGTCCGACTTGTCGCTGAGGCGAGACATGTCACAAGCTACACCAGCTGTGCTCCGTAGAGAAAGAGATGCATCTCGGCAAAGGTGCCGAAACTTGTCTAAATCAGATAGGAATTTCCCCAAATAGTCAATGATCGGGCTTCTATTAGCCGTGAAAGCCATGATACCCGCTATAGCCTTGATTACCGACGCTTGCTTCTCCGCGGCGCTAAGCTCAAGCCATTTCTGAGCACATGCTTACATGTACATACCTCATCAGCGTTACCCCATACTAGGGTAAAGGTCTATATAGAATGAAATTCTCCGAAAAGTGGTTTCTGTTTGCCAAGACTTCTATGATGGTTTACTATAGGTGAAATATCCCATCACTGGAGTCATCACGATGGCGGCCCAAGACGAAATCGAGAGCGCGACTCCGCCCATGAGTCCGGCAACCAGCGACGCGGACACAATTACACCGAGTCCTCCTAGCCCTAGCCCTTTGGCTTTCAAAGACGCAAATGATCCGGATAATCTCAAGAATTGGTCGTTGTTGAGGAGGCTGTTTATCACTTTCATATGGATAACGGGAAACTTGGTAGCTTCGGTGTCTTCCAGCATCTTCAGCAGCGGTGCTCAAGCAATCAGCGAGGATTTTGGTGTGGGACCAGAGGTTGTGACTCTCGGAGTCAGCTTGTTTGTTGTTGTAAGTTGTGTCCAATTTATTGTATCTCGTCTACAAGGCTGTGTTTGGGCTGACGTGTGCTCTCTTTCGTCATAGGGCTACTCCGTTGGACCGCCTTTCTGGAGCCCCATATCTGAACAATTTGGAAGAAGGTACCCGATGCTCGCGGGCATGGCCCTCTTCACAATATTTTGCATCCCGGTTGCTGTTGGAAAGAACCTGCAAACGATCCTTGTCGGGCGATTCCTGTGTGGAATGACTGGTGTATCGCCCATTGCCCTCTTTGGTGGTGGCCTGGTCGATATCTGGCACCCAGAGCAGCGCGCAATTGCCATGGCTACTGTCATTGGCATAGTTCTTAGCGGCCCCTTGCTGGCTCCGGTCATGGGAAACTTCATTACTGCTAGTCATCTGGGCTGGCGGTGGACTGGCTGGCTGAGCTGTATCATGGGAGGATCATGTACCGTTCTCGTTTTCTTAGGGCTGCCAGAGACATATGCCCCCATCATTCTACAGAAGAGACAAAAACTTGACCCTGCATTTCAGAACGCGCCAAAAGAAACTGGGAGATGGCGTAAATTTGTCCGAGTCTATCTGGTCCGCCCCTTTGGTAAGCTTTGCTCTGTGTTTGTATTCCAGCCCCTGCATCTTATTGACATGTGTCTCTACAGTGTTACTGGGAACTGACCCCATACTGGTTCTCATGACTCTCTACCAGGCATTCGTCTACGGAATCCTGTATATTGTTTTTTCATCATATCCTATAATCTTCCGCGAACAACGTCATTGGAAACTTGGCCTATCCTCGCTCCCATTCCTAGGAATGATGGTTGGGGTTTTTATCGGATCAGCCATGATTGTTACGCGGACCGTCATTGCTCAACAAGCCAGTCGAAAGAAGATGGCCGAAGATTCTTCCGGAATCCCTCTCTCGCCAGCACCTGAACGACGGCTACCCCTGATGATGGCAGGTAGCGTTTTGCTCCCCATCGGACTATTCATTTTTGGGTGGACTTCTGCTCCTGATATTCCCGTTGTTGGAATGATCATTGGAAGTCTATTTGTTGGTTCCGGATTACTTTGCATCTTTGTCACGGCAATGACGTATATCCTCGACGTCTATTCACATGTCGCAAACAGCGCACTAGGAGCAAACACAATCGTGCGATCATTCTTCGCTGCTGGGTTCCCCTTATTTGCCAGCTACATGTATCATGGACTTGGCGTGGCGTGGGCGTCAAGCGTTCTTGGCATTGTGAGTGTTGCAATGATTCCGATTCCAATCATCTTTTACAAGTATGGGCCGCGCATTAGGGCTCTTTCCAAAAACTTGATGGTGTAATGTAATTTTTAGAGTCATGGGATTATAACAGTATATTCGCTCACACTGGAAATTGTATCAAAATCTTTTCAAGTGTCCGATTGTTAACTGTAGAGGAAATTGCTCCTGCATATTGAATTGGGCTGAAGGGATGACACAGGTAGGATGAAGCCGTTTAGGTAATATGTAAGTGATATGTATGTACATATAGAGGCACAAAATGCTTACAAGAAGAGTGATACTTGCCAAATGTTCTGAAAATGAACCTCTAAATATACAGAGTGATAAGTTGTTAGCTGGATTCAGGCAATAATGGTCAAACGATTAATATGGAGGTTATATTTGTAACCAAGAGAAGAGGGTCAAGAATTGCAGCTGTAATAGCTCTGAGGTATTAATATACACTTGGAATCAAGTCTGAACAATATTCATTCTAATGTTAAACTCCTATTTTGAGGCAAAATGAATATCGATTGGTTACCCAGCCGTGAACTTAGATGGCGCCAAAGACAGACACAATCGGCAGCGCGCTGAACGGACCACCACAATAGGCTACGAGGCCATTCTGTGGGAATGTACATGCCGAATTGCATCCGTTGGTTACGTCTGAGCTGGCGAGGACATCGCCACATGCGCAAATGGAGTTGCCGTCAACATCTGTTGAGAGTGTCATGAACAGAGTTGGAGGGCCAGGAGCTCTGACCGTAGCGCAGTAGGCGGCGCAGTCGTCGATAGATGCTGTTTCGATCTTACTGTAAACAATGTTCGCACCTGTGTTATCTAGCCCAAAAGCTTGGCCGGCGAGGAGGCCGGCCTGATAGCAGCCGGTGTAGTCATACTCCGCGAAAGCTGCTCCTGGAACACCTTGAATACCTTGGATACCCTGAGGACCTATAGGACCTTGAGGACCGATAGCACCAGTAGCACCTACATCACCCTGAGGACCTTGGATACCCTGAGGACCGATAGGACCGATGGGACCAGTAGCACCTACATCACCCTGAGGACC